TTCCCAGCCCTTACACTGGTTATTTTCTTAGTTTTATTTGTTTTGGTTTGGTTTTTGTGTGTGTCAGTGATGGAAATTGAACTCTGGGCCTCAGCATTTTAGTTCAAGGCTAGTGCTCTACCACTTGAGCCACAATGCCACTTCCAGCTTTTTGTTTATATGGTGCTGAGGAATCAAACCCAGGGCCTCATGCATGTGAGGCAAGCACTTTACCACTGAGCCACCTTCCCAGCCCTGAACTGGTTATTTTGAAATAGGGTCTTGACTTTTGTCTGGAATATACTTGGTCTGCAATCTTTTCCTATATTAGGGGTCCACACCAGTGATGACCGGTGATATGCACCTATTGGTTGAGAAAGGGTCTTGTGAATCCCTCCACTACCCTCTCTGCCCCCCCCCCCCCCCCCCCGCCGCCATACTCTTGAACCACAAACTCCAGTTTGGGATCAGAATTTTAGGAGCACATTCAGAACAGGCCACCTAGAAATGTGATGGCATTACAGAAGTAGAATACTTGAGAGAGTATTAAATGAGCTAGCCACACACTTTAGAACCTGTAGCATAGAAGTGCAGGGCTTTGTTTCCAGTAGGCAGCTTTGAGTGTAGAAATAAACTCAAGCCTAAGACAGCTTTCCAATAGAAAAGTTGTAGTTGTTCTAATCACCTTCTCATTGTGTGTGTGTGTGTGTGTGTGTGTGTGTGTGTGTGTGTGTGTGTGCGTGCGCATGCTGGTCCTTGGCCTTGAACTCAGGGTCTAGGTGCTGCGCTTGAGTTTCTTTTTGCTTAAAGCTGGCACTCTACTCACTTGACACACACCTCCATTTCTGGCTTTTTGGTAGTTAATTGGAGATGAGTCTCATGGACCTTTCTGCCCTGGCTGGGTGAGAACGTGATCCTCAGATATCATCCTCCTGAGTAGGATTACAAGCAGGAGCCACTGGTGTCCAGCTCCTTTTGACTTTTCTTGTGTTAAATGAAGATTACATCATGTGGATTGAGGAAGAGGTTGTGTCCTAATTTATTTATTTTTTGGTCCAGTCGTGGGGCCTGAACTCTGGGCCTGGACACTGTCCCTCAGCTCTTCAGCTTGAGGCTAATGCTCTACACTTGAGCCACAGCGCCACTTCCAGCTTTTTTCTTTTTGCTTATGTGATGCTAAGGAATCGAACCCAGGGCCTCATGCATGCAAGGCAAGCGTTCTACTACTGAACCACCTTCCCAGCCCCATTGTTTCCTAATTTAAAGAATGTTCCATACCCAGGCATTAGTGGCTCACGCATGTAATCCAATCCTAGCTACTCAGGAGGCTGAGATCTGAGGATTGCAGTTCAAAGCTAGCCTGGACAGGAAAGTCCTTGAGACTTATCTCTATTTAACCACCAGAACACTGGAAGTGGTGCTGTGGCTCAAGTAGTAGAGTGCTTGCCTTGCGCTGAAGAGCTCAGGGAGCCGGGTGCCAGTGGCTCACCCCCGTAATCCTAGCTACTCAGGAGGCTGAGATCTAAGGATCACGGTTTAAAGCCAGCCCAGGCAGAAACATCTGTAAGACTCTTATCTCCAATAAACCACTAGAAAACCGGAAGTGGCACTGTGGTTCAAGTGGTAGAGCACTCACCTTGAGCTGAAGAGTACAGGGATAGCGCCCAAGCCCAGAGTTCAAGCCCCACGACCAAAAACAAAACAAAGCATAAAAACCTCCAAATACATAGCATCTCATTCCATCCTATTTTCTTTTTCTGAGAGTAGAGCACAGAGGAAGAAAGAAAAGTTCAGTTCAAGGTAAATAGATGTTGTCATCTTTCTTTCCTGAACTGACTTTGAATCATTTAAAAATAGGCATCTTTGGGCTAGGAATGTGGCTTAGTGATAGAGTGTTTGCTTAGCATGCGTGAAGCCCTTGGTTCAATTCCTCAGTACCATATAAACCGAAAAGGCCAGAAGTGATGCTGTGGCTCAAGTGGTAGAGTACTAGCTTTGAACAAAAGAAGTTCAGGGACAGTACCCAAGCCCTGAGTTCAAGCTCTAGGATTGGGGAAGAAAAAACAGGCATCTTGTTTTTCTTTGTTCCTCCCCTACATGGTACATTTTAATGAGTTTCATCATAACTTTTTATATATGTATGTATTTTGCTTTCTTTTTGAAATTTCGTATCTTAGATGATGTAGGAACAAAGCCAATATTTGGTACTATCTGAGCCAAGAAAATTTGCACTCTGGCCGGGTGCTGGTGGCTCATGCCTGTAATCCTAGCTATGCAAGAAGCTGAGATCTGAGGATCGCCATTCAAAGCCAGCCCAGGCACGAAAGTCTGTAAGACTATTATCTCCAATAAACTACCAGAAAACTGGAAGTGGCACTGTAGCTCAATTGGCAGAGCACTTGCCTTGAGCTGGAGAGCTGAGGGACAGCACCCAGGCCCAGAGTTCAAGCCCCACAACCAACAAAAAAAAAAAAAAAAAAGCACTCTGTGTGTGTGTGTGTGTGTGTGTGTGTGCATGCACACACACAGGGCCTGGGAGCTAACTGTCCCTTAGATTTTTTGCCACCAGCACCCTGCTTTTCTGGTTTTCTTGTGGCTAATTGGAGATAAGAGTCTCTGAGGGATGAGAATGTGGTTCACTGGAGAGTACTTGCCTAGCATGAATGAAGCCTTGGGTTCAATTCCTCAGTACCACATAAACAAAAAAATAGCTGGAAGTCGTGCTGTGGCTCAAATGGTAGAGTGCTAGCCTTGAGCAAAAGATGTTCAGGGGCAGTGCCCAGGATTGGCAAAAAAATAAAAAGAATCTTATAGACTTTCCTGCCCAAGATGGCTATAAACTGTGATTCTTTAGTCTAAGCCTCCTGAGTAGCTAGGATTACACGTATGAGCCACCAGTGCCTAGCATTGTGTACGTGTGTGTATACATTGTGCGCGTGAAGACTGGAGCTTGAACTTAGGGCCTCACACCTTACCTGTGTGCTTGGGCTGGCTTCAAACTGGGATCCTCCCATGTTAGAAACTTTCTAGTCTGTTTGCTCTCCTGCTTCCATTGTACACTGCTCCCTTTCATCTCCCCCTCCATTGAAAACCTCTGTCCTTTATTTATTTTTCTTTTCTTTTTTTTTGTTGTTGCTGGTTGTGGGGCCTGAACTCTGGGCCTGGGCACTGTCCCTCAGCTCTTCAGCTCAAGGCTCGTGGTCTACCACTTGAGCCCAGCACCACTTCCAGGTTTTTCTGCTTATGTGATGCTGAAGAATCAAACCTAGGGCCTCATGCATGCAAGGTAAGCACTCTACCACTGAGCCACCTTCCCAGCCCCTGCCCTTGATTTCTACAGGTTATATTAAATTTATTGTTTCAGAGGTCCATGATACTCCGGGATATAGCCACTGACTTCTCTCAGGAAGAGTGGGATTGCCTGGACTCTGCCCAAAAGGATCTGCATAGAGATGTGATGTTGGAGAACTATGGTAACTTGGTATCACTAGGTAAGAGTATCTTTCCCTTGTTCTCAAGATCTAATTTTTTTTTTTTTTGCTAGTCCTGGGGCTTGAACTCAGGGCCTGGGCACTGTCCCTGAGCTCCTTTCACTCAAGGCTAGCACTACTACTTGAGCTACAGTGCCACTTCTGGCTTTTTCTGTGTATGTGGTACTGAGGAATCGAACTCAAGGCTTCATGCATGTTAGGCAAGCACTCTACCAACTAAGCCACATTACCAGCCAGGATTTAATTTTTGAATGGCTTTCTCTGCTATTATTCCCAGGTTTCTTTTTTTTGAGTCCGGTTGTGGGGCCTGAACTCTGGGCCTGGGCGCTGTCCCTCAGCTCTCCAGCTCAAAGCTAGTGCTCTACCACTTAAGCCACAGGGCCACTTCGACTTTTTTTTCTTTTTGCTTATGTGGTGCTGAGGAATCGAACCCAGGGCCTCAGGCATGCAAGGCAAGCGCTCTACCACTGAGCCAACTTCCCAGCCCCTCCCAGGTTTCTTAAAAAATAAATAGCCGGGCACTGGTAGCTCACGCCTGTAATCCTAGCTACTCAGGAGACTGAGATCTGAGGATCTCGTTCAAAGCCACCCTGGGCAGGAAAGTCTGTGAGACTCCTACCTCCAATAAACCACTCAGAAAACTGGAAGTGGCGCTGTGGCTCAAGTGGTAGAGCACTCGCCTTGAGCTGAAGAGCACAGGGACAGAGCCCAAGCCCAGAGTTCAAACCATGACCGACCCAAAAAATAAAAAATAAATAAATAATGCAAAGCACCAGTAGCTCACTACTGAGTCAATTTCCCAGCTTTTTTTTTTTTTTTTAAGATTTTAGGTTGCAATATTTCACCATCAAATTCAGTTTTGTGGGTTTTTTTTTTTTTTTTTCTCGTTTGTGAGGCAACTCTGGGCCCTGTTCCTCAGCTCTTCAGCTCAAGGCTAGTGTTCTACCATTTGAGCCACAGCACCACATCTGGTTTTCTGGTGGTTTATTGGCGATAAGAGTCTCATGGACTTTTTCTGCACGGGCTGGCTTTGAACCGTGATCCTCAGATCTCAGTCTCCTGAGGATTACATACGTGAGCCACCGACACCCGGCATTATAATTTTTATGTGTTATTTTCCTAGTTATTTGCCTTTTTTGTTGTAGCAGTTCTATTTCACTTGCATGGTTTCCTATTGTCTTGTCTTTCAGACCTGTCTTTAAGGTGTGTAATTACGGACTTATCTTCAAAGAAGCAAACTGCTGAAATAAAAGTATGTCAGTGGGAAATGAGTGGCAGACTTGAAACCTGTGACATTGAGGAGACCCATTCTAGAGATCATTTAAAAGTGAAAGGCAAGGTGGAGAAGACTCAAGGAAACCACAGGGAATATTCCAGACAAGAGATGATCACATATGATAAAATGTCCATTTGCAACCAGCATGCATACTTATCTCAACATCCAAGATGTCCTTCTACAGAGAAGCCCTATAAATGTGTGGAATGTGGGAAAGCCTTCAGACGAGCCTCTCACCTAACACAACATCAGAGTATTCACACTGGTGAGAAACCCTATGAGTGTAAGCAGTGTGGGAAAGCCTTCAGTCGCGATTCTCAGCTCAATCTTCATCAGAGGCTTCACACTGGTGAAAAACCTTATGCATGCAAGGAGTGTGGAAAGGCCTTTACTCAAAGCTCACAACTTATTTTACATCACAGAATTCATACTGGTGAAAAACCATATAAATGTGAAGAATGTGGAAAAGCTTTTATTCGTAGCTCACAGCTCACACGACATCAGAAAGTCCATACTGGTGAGAAGCCTTACGAATGTAAAGAATGCGGTAAAGCCTTTACTCAGAACTCACAACTTACTCTGCACCAGAGACTTCATACTGGTGAGAAGCTCTATGAATGTAAGGAATGCCAAAAGGTGTTCACTCAGCTTTCACAACTTATTCTGCACAGAAGAATTCATACCGGTGAGAAACCCTATGAATGCAAGGAGTGTGGGAAGGCTTTTATTTGTGGTTCTCAGCTTTCCCAACATCAGAAAATTCATAATGGGGAAAAGCCATATGAATGTAAGGAATGTGGAAAAGCATTTATTAGGGGCTCCCTCCTTATGCAACATCAACGGATTCATACCGGCGAAAAACCATACAAGTGTGAAGAATGTGGGAAGGCCTTTATCCGTGGCTCACAACTTACTCAACATCAGCGAATCCATACCAATGAAAAGCCCTATGAATGTAAGGAATGTGGAAAGACCTTTAGCCATGGCTCACAGCTTACTCAACATCAAAGAATTCATACTGGTGAGAAACCTTATCAGTGTAAGGAATGTGGAAAAGCCTTTAACCGGGGCTCACTTCTTACTCGCCATCAGAGGACTCATACAGGTGAGAAACCTTATGAATGTAAAGAGTGTGGGAAAAACTTTAGTCGTGGTTCTGAACTTACCCAACATGAGCGGATTCACACTGGTGAGAAACCCTATGAATGTAAGGAATGCGGGAAGTCTTTTATTCGTGGCTCACAACTTACTCAACATCAGCGAATCCATACTGGTGAAAAACCTTATGAATGTAAAGAATGCAGAATGGCCTTTACTCAGAGTTCCCATCTTTCTCAACATCAGAGACTTCATACTGGTGAAAAACCCTATGTGTGTAATGAGTGTGGCAAGGCCTTTGCTCGTGGCTTACTGCTTATCCAACATCAGAGAATTCATACTGGTGAGAAACCCTATCAGTGTAAGGAATGTGGGAAGGCTTTTATTCGTGGTTCACAGCTTACTCAGCATCATCGAATTCACACTGGAGAAAAGCCCTATGAATGCAAAGAATGTGGGAAGGCCTTTAGTCATGGCTCTCAACTTACCCTGCATCAACGAATCCATACTGGTGAGAAGCCCTATGAATGTAAAGAATGTAGCAAGGCCTTTACGCAGAGCTCACATCTTTCTCGACATCAGCGAGTTCATACTGGTGAGAAACCATATCAATGTAAGGAATGTGGTAAGGCCTTTACCCGGGGTTCACAACTAACTCAACATAAGAGAATTCATATCCGTGAGAAATCTTTTGACTGTAAGGAATGTGGAATAGACATCAGTCATGGTTCACAAGTTTTTATATGAATTATTTGGTCCTTTGTGATAAACATGGAGTGCTATCTCTAGTCATCCATTATCAGTAAAGAATTTCAAATATGAATGTGATCTATATTTGTTTTATAAAGCTTAGAATCAGAGAATTGAGATGGGAGAATGGAATTGTTCATGTAATCCATACAAGAAAACCTTTCATTATGGGAAACCTTTCATTACTGGAGCCCTACTAAACAATTATCAGATGCAAAGAATTATTAATGTAGTTAAATACAGAAAGGCCTTTAGCCATAGTAAATGTCTTTTTTTATATTACCTTTTCTCTGCTAGTTGATTTCCTTTGTGACATCATCAGTAACTTTTCTTTGGTTTAATCGTTTGTAAGGGGGACCTATCAATTTTTTCTGTAAAATTTTTGATATGATCTTATGTGTAAAATCTCTTAGAACAGTGCCTTGAACATAGCATATTACAAATATTAAGGCTCATTATTGTGGCTTTAAGAGATGTACATGAGGGGAGTGCACGTAAATGTAATTATCATCAAGGAATTTTTGAATTGCATTTGTCCCAGACTGTTTGAGTGAGGACCTGTATATGTGTGATGGGTGCAAGAATGCTTTCATTCAAATCTCCTATCACATAGAACAGAAATCCAGTGGGTTGTTGAGCACAACTGAGTTGTCACAAAGTCCAAATACTTGTATTTTATACCACCTCTGACCTCAACCACTAATATTCTTTAGAAAGGAAAAACTAGGTAGAATCAAGTAAGTCTACTAGGGAATTTTTAAAATGTTAAACTACAAATAAAAACTGTGTCATTAATAACTATTTTGCAATGAAAAATAATGAAAGAATAGTGATCTATCAGTATCCACTTTCCTATTTTAGCAACAATTGCCATTTTCCTGTTTTAATATTGACATCAAAAACAGCAGCCTTCCTTATATGCTGACCAGATGAAAGCTGTATTTGTTTTTTTTTTTTTTTTTTGTCGGTCATGGGGCTTGAACTCTGGGCCTGGGCGCTGTCCTTCAGCTCTTCAGCTCAAGGCGAGCGCTCTACCACTTGAGCTACAGCGCCACTTCCGGTTTTCTGGTGGTTTATTGGAGATAGGAGTCTCACGGTCTCTCCTGCCCGGGCTGGCTTTGAACCGCGATCCTCAGATCTCAGCCTCCTGAGTAGCTAGGATTACAGGCGTGAGCCACCAGCGCCCGGCCTGAAAGCTGTATTTGTATGAGGGCATTTAAGAAACCCCATTTTCGGGCTGGGAAGGTGGCTAAGTGGTAAAGCACTTGCCTGGCATGCGTGAGACCCTGAGTTCAATTCCTCAGCACCACATAAGCAAAAAGAAAAAAGCCGGAAGTGGTGCTGTGGCTCAAGTGGTAGAGTGCTAGCCTTGAGCTGAAGAGCTGAGGGACAGCGCCCAGGCCCAGAGTTCAGGCCTCACGACTGGACTCAAAAAAAAAAAAAAAAAAAGAAACCCCATTTTCTTCTCCTAATGATAGCAAAAGCATCAGGTACCAAACTGGAGTAATGGTCAAGAAAGAGCGAAGGAGAAAGGAAAGGAATGGATCTGAGAAGGAATATTCTGGATGGTGGATGGTAGAGCAGAAACATAGGTTTGATTCTGCAACCCTGATAATTTTGCTGAACAATCATGGCAACTGCCTGCCTTTTGTATTTATCACAAACCTCATATTTGTTGATTTTAGTGTAGTTCTCTTATTAATAGGACTTCCTTTAAAGAAATGGGGTTCTGTGGATGAAAAACAAAATGAAATATGTGGCATTAAGGCTACAAAGAATATGGAATCCAGAAAAAGGAGTAGAAAATTGAGGCTTTTTAAATCAAGGCATGATAGCGAGACTGCCTGCTATTGTGTTAAAAGGCAGGTAACAATGATCTGGGCATCAAGGGTAGAGGAAATGTTAGGAGTGATCCAGAATGTGTGTGCTTCTTGATTCTTGCTGCTTTCAATAATGTTAAGAGGAGCCGAGTGCCAGTGGCTCACGCCTGTAATCCTGGCTACTAAGGAGGCTGAGATCTGAGGATCACAGTTCAAAGCCAGCCCAGGCAGGAAAGACTGTGAGACTCTAATCTCCAATAAACCACTAGAAAGCCAAAAGTGGCGCTGTGGTTCTTAATGTTAAGAGGAGGATTTAGAGCACAGCTAGCCAAAGCCACAAGCAGAATTTGAAAATGATACTTTTAAGAGATGTCATCTCTGACTACAAGCCCTCAATTCTCTATCCTTAACTAAATCCAATTTTAATGATTCAATGAACATCTGTGAATAGGAAATGAGACCATAACCCATCCCTACAAAGGAGTGAGTATGCTGGCAAATGTGAATTTAAATGACAGATCTCTCCAGCCCCCAACATCTCAGCAATTTACCTTAAAAAAAAAAAAAAAAAGATGCCAACGCATACAACAAAACTTAGCAGTAATAGAACTTCCACACCATTTAACAGAGCTCTATGAATGCTTAACTTCCATCTTGGTGCCCAAGAAATCCCTACTGTTTCAAAGGCATGTTTTTTTTTTTTTTTTGGTTCCGGTCCTGGGGCCTGAACTCTGGGGCCTGGGCGCTGTCCCTCAGCTCTTCAGCTCAAGGCTAGCGCTCTACCTCTTGAGCCACAGCACCACTTCCGGCTTTTCTCTTTTTGCTTATGTGGTGCTGAGGAATTGAACCCAGGGCCTCAGGCATGCAAGGCAAGTGCTCTACCGCTGAGCCACCTTCCCAGCCCCTCAAAGGCAGGTTCTTGAAATGTAGTCAGGATAAAGAGGCCTCTCAAAGTATTCAAGTTCATGACGGAGGAAAGAAAAGCCTGTAGGTCTTAGAGACGTCAGCTGCTGAGAGGAGCCTGTATAGTAGTGTCATGAGCCAACCACAGAGGCTGGCATTAGTTCCTGAAAGCATCCCAAGTTATCCTCTTCTTGATCACCAGGCTATGGTTGGGGCTATTACTTTTAAGGAAAACAAAGCTCTTTATGTCTAAACTTAGTTCTGCGAGGTTTTTGTTCTTCTAGAAAGTTGCTGGGTTTGTTGTTTTTTTTTTTAGAAAGTTGCCCCTATAGCCAAGACAGACATTCAGCAGAGCCATTCAGGACTACCTTCACCACTTTTAAAACAAAAGAAGCCAGGCACTGGTGGCTGGTACCTGTAAGCCTAGCTAAAATCTGAAGATCACTGTTTGAAGTCAGCCCTGGTAGGAAAGTCCATGAGACTTTATCTCCAATAAACTTAAAAAGAAAAACAGAAAAAGAAAAGGCCAAAAGTAAAGCAGTAGGTTCAAGTAATAGAGTGCTAGCCTTAAGCAAAAGAAAGCTCAGAGAGAGTGCCCAGACTTGAGTTCAAGCCCCAGCACCAGTGTGCACACATGCGTGCGCACAATACTATATAGGCAAGACACAAAGACAGTCTCTGGGAATAAACACAAGACAGGCCTTAATTCATCACAGAAGCCCCATTCATTCACATACATAACAGCTTTCTGGACTGCAAGGCCCTGTTCTGGTATTATAGAGCAGCCCGCAGGAAACCTGATGAAGGATCCGGTGGCACACAAACTGTGCTACCACCTGATGATGCTCCGCCCCTTCCATATGGCTCTAATCAATGCCTCAGATCCAGAAGACCATCAGCCTAGGATGGTCAGAGTGAAACCCAGTACACTGTGAGGGAAGGCAGGGTGTCTGTCCTGCAAAGCCTCATGGGCATATCCTAGGCAACCTCACTGGTCACTATGGATACAGTTACTAGGTTGGTCGGCAGATGCACACACATTTGCAGGGCTGGCTTCAAATCCTTACTGCCAGGCTTACTGATAGGATCAAGAGTTGAAGATCTGACCCATCAGCTATCTGGGTCACTTCTGCCACTGCAGTATTGGCTGTGGTTTGGTGGCATGAGATGATCACAGTGGATCTGATTCTGGGAAGGGAAGTGGGTTATGTTATAGTCAGCATGGATAAGTTAATTAACAGGTCCCATAAAGGGCATGATGGACATCTGATAAAAGTATCAATTAAAAACTGAACCCATGGGATACTGGTGGCTCAAGGCTATAATCCTAGCTACTCAGTTGGCTGAGGTCTGAAGATTGTGGTTTGAAGCCAGCTCGGGCAGGAAAATCCATGAGACTTATCACCAATAAACCACTCAAAAACTGGAAATGGTGCTGTGGCTCAAAGTGGTCTAGAAGCACTAGCCTTGAGCAAAAGAGCTCATGTACAGCATGCAGGCCCCAAGTTCAAGGCCCACGACAAAAAAGCAAAACAACCAAAAAAACCCTAAACCAGGTACAACTGTCAGGTTGGACACACATGGAATTGAAATTCCAGAAGGAAAGATGGATACCATATATATTTTACACACACACACACACACAACCATATATGGCTATTCCAAAAATGACAGCTGGCAACAGGACACAAAGAGATCCCATTTACAAAAAGAGCCTCCAAAGTTAATAAAAATTATGAAAAATGAACTGATCCTAATATCTAATATATTGTGGGAGTGATGGAATATGAAGGTGAATTGGTCCTAATCCATACAGCTTCACCTCATGTACTGTCCCTATTTGCTCTGGAGAAAGTTGGATGACACAGCATGAGGACACTTATGCAGCCTTATGGAGAAGCTTAGTGAGAAAAGGGCAACTGCCAACAGGTTTGTGAGACAGCCACTGTGAACCAGACACCTTGGACCATGTTCGTTATCCTAGCAATTTTGAAGGCTGACTAGGGAGAATCACCATACTAGAGCAGACTGGACAGAAAAAGTTGAGCAATCACTTCTAAACCAATAGTTAGCCATGGTGGCACATGCCCATCATTCTAGCTAGCTCCCTGAGCGGCTAAGATCAGGACGATAATGATTTCAGGCTAGCCCCAGGGAGAAAAGATCCCATGAGTCTCCATCTTACCAGAGATGACTGTGGTGACAAATGTCTTGCACTCAGCTATGGCAAGAAGACTAACTAAATGATCACAGTCCTGGGGCTGGGAAGGTGGCTCAGTGGTAGAGCGCTTGCCTTGAATGCATAAGGCCCTGGGTTCAATTCCTCAGCACCACATAAGCAAAAAGAAAAAAACCGTAAGTGGCTCTGTAGCTCAAGTGGTAGAGAGCTAGCCTTGAGCTGAAGAGCTGAGGGACAGCACCCAGGCCAGAGTTCAGACCCCACAACCGGACCCCCCCCCAAAAAAAGATCACAGTCCTGACACTTGCCCAAACAAGAAGCAAGACCCTTTTTCAAAAATTACCAGGACAACAAAAGAGCTGGAGATATGGCTTAGTGGTTGAGCAATTGCCTTCATAAACATGATGCCCTGAGTTCAAAGCCCTGTATGATGAAGTCATGTTGAATAACCTTATAGTTCAAATATGCTTTCATATACGAGTATAGCAACTGCAACCTCATGAGACTGAGGTAAGTTGTACCTGAAATCTTCATGGTTGTTTCTTGGTTGGTTTTATATCTCTTGATGTATCAGTTTATCCTGCTAAAACCATTCACAAATGTATCCAATTCTATCCAAAGCTTATTCAGCTATGCATCAATACTCTTATCAGAAAGTCCTTCTAGGGGCTGGGAAGGTGGCTCAGTGGTAGAGCGTTTGCCTTGCATGCCTGAGGCCCTGGGTTTGATTCCTTAGCACCACATAAGCAAAAAGAAAAAAGCCGTAAGTGGCTCTGTAGCTCAAGTGGTAGAGCACTAGCCTTGAGCTGAAGAGCTGAGGGACAGCACCCAGGCCTGGAGTTCAGGCCCCACGACCGGACCCCCCGCCCCCCAAAAATTCCTTCTAGTGGGTGCCAGTGGCTCATGCCTTTAATCCTAGCTACTCAGGAGGCTGAGATCTGAGGATCACAGCTCAAAGCCATCCTGGGCAGGAAAGTCCATAAGACTATTATTTCCAATTAACCACAGAAAACGAAGTGGCACTGTGGTGTGGTAGAGCGCTAGCCTTGAGCTGAAGAACTGAGGGACAGTGTACAGGTCAAGAGTTCAAGCCCCACGACAGAAAGAAAGACAGAAAGACAGGAAGAAAGACAGAAAGATAGGGAGGGAGGGAGGGAGGGAGGGAGGGAGGGAGGAAGGAAGGAAGTCTGCTCAGGTGGCTTACACCTGTAATCCTAGCTACTCAGGAAGCTGAGATATGAGGATCGTGGTTCAAAGCCAGCCTTGGCAGGAAAGTCTGTGAGACTCTTATCTCCAATTAATTACCAGAAAACTGGAAGTGGTGCTGTGGCTGAAAGTAGTAGAGCACTAGCCGTGAGCTGAAGAGCTCAGGGACAATGCCTGGGCCCAGAGTTCAAGCTCCACAACCAATGGGGGGGGGGTGGGGGTGGGGGGGAGTCCCTTCTTTTAAAAAATGGTTCCAAGACAGGCACCAGATACTCATGCCTATAATCCTAGCTACTCAGGAGGCTGAGGGCAGGAAAGTCCATGAAATTCTCTGGCTCTTTTGCCAGAAATGATGTGGCTCAAGTGGTAAGGTGCTAGTTTTGTTTTTTTTTTGCTGGTTCTAGTATTTGAACTCAGGGCCTGGGCACTGTACCTGAGCCTCTCTGTGCTCAAGGCTCGTGCTCTACCACTTAAGCCACAGGGCCACTTGTGGCTTTTTCTAAGTAGTTATTGGAATGAGTCACACAGACTTTTTTGCTGGCTTTGACCCACAATCCTCAGATTTCAGCCTCCCTAATAGCTAGGATTACAGGTATGAGCCACTGGTGGCCGGCTTCTAGAGAGCTAGCTTTTTACTAAATAGCTTAGGGACAGGACTCAGGTGCTGAGATCAAGCCCCAGAACTGACACAAAAATAAAAAATCCAAGCAAGTATGTTATCAAATACTACATTCATCTATCATTCATATTCATACATATATATGTATATAATTTTATTGTGTATATATACGTGTATGTTGGTTCTGAGGCTTGAATTCAGGGCCTGGGTGCTGTAACTGAGCTTTTGTGCTCAAGGATAGCGCTTTATCTCTTGGGCTAGAATTCTACTTCCAGCATTTCTTGGTAGTTAACTGGAGATAAGAATCTCATGGACTTTCCTGCCTAGGCTGGTTTGGAACTGATATTCTCAGATCTCAGCCTTCTGAGTAGCTAGGATTACAGGTGTGAGCCACTTGTGGCCAGCTTATTGTGTATTTTTCATGTACCTTAATGAGTGAATTTATTGAGGCAAACCTCCTCTAACTTTATTAGAACAGTTATATTAGCATAAACTGGAAATTTTTCCATAGGATACTTTTTTCCACCAGGGTAGAGTCTGTAAAATCACCTAGGATCACGTGACTTTTAACAATTTTTTTTTTTAAAAAAAACATTTGGCCATTTTGGATTATATTCAAAACAACATTTTCCAAAAAATAAGTTATCCATATATAAAAATTATACTGCACATACTTAAGTTTTTAAATACCCTCTAAAAAAAAATATATATATATCACTTATAATAATAATGCATCCTGGTATTCCATAACTGATGAAGTAAAAAAATCCTATCCTAAATAAAGATTATGAATTCTAATGGATGTATCATGCTCCGATCAAAAGGTCTACTAATATTACACTTCTTGGATTTCTCAAGGAAAAACTAACAAGGAAGGAACTGGGCCAGGCACCAGCGGTTAACACTAGTAATCCTAGCTACTCAGGAAGCTGAGATCTGGGCATCTCGGCTGAAAGCATGAAGCAGGGAAATCTGAAACTCTTATCTCCAATTAACCACCAGAAAACCAGAAGTGAAGCTGTGGGTAAAAGTGATAGAGCACTAGCCTTGAACAAAAAAGCTCAGAGACAGTGCCTATGCCCTGAGTTCAAGCCCCATCACCAAATTAAAAAAAGAAGGAATTAACATCAAACAATGAGTCATGAATAAACACTTCCCTATATTTCATAAGATTTCACAATAGTGAAACTACGTGACACCTTGGGGAAATTTCATCTCAAAAATCTTTATATTCATAGGATTTCCAAAAGCATAAATATTCTGAAGGCTGGAAATGTAACTTAGAGGTGGCACTCTTGTTTAGCTTATATGCAAAGCCTTTAGTTTGCTCACCAGCACCTCCAGAAAACAAAATGTATAACAAAGTATAATATCCAGGTTGTAAGCAGTTTTCTATAATGAAAGATGCTCCCATAGCCTGCTTATTCACCATTGTGATTTTTTTTTCCCTCAGTAAATCATGAACAGTCACAGGGGTTGGCATCAGTAGGAAGCCTTTTCTATATCATGTAAGCTTGGGTTTCAGACAAAGGGTTTCTCAAATTCATTACCAAGACCTCCCTGCCGACATACATTCTCTAATGTCGAGTAAGTTGTGAACCCCAGAGAAAAGCTTTTCCCCAATCTTCACATTCATAGGGTCTCTTTCCAGTATGCGTTTTCTCATGTTGATCTAGCTCGGACCTATGACCAAAGGTTTTTCCACATTCCTTGCATGCATTCATTCTCTCACTCTTATGAATCTTCTGATGCCGATTAAAGTCTGAGCCTTGAAGAAAGGTCTTGCCACACTCCTTACACTCATAGAGTTTCTTCTCATGAACTTTCTCATGTTGAGCCAGATATGAAGCCCAAATGAATGTCTTCCCACAGTGCTTACACTCGTAAGGTTTTCTTCCTGTATGACTTCGCTGATGGCGAGCAAGGTTTGAGCTCCAGATATAGGCTTTCCCACATTTCTCACACTCATAGGGCTTCCGACCAACGTGGGCATTCTGATGGTCAGAAACACTAGAACCATGGATACAGGCTTTCCCACACTCTTTGCACTCATGCAACTTCTCGCCATCATGAATTTTCTGATGTTCACTTAGATGTGAACCACGTGTAAAAGCTTTCCCGCACTCCTTACACTCGTAAGGTTTCTCACCTGTGTGAATTCTCTGGTGGTTAGTAAGATGTGCCCGCTGAACAAAGGCCCTGCTACATTCGGTACATTCATAGGGCTTTTCGCCAGTGTGGATTCTCTGATGTTCTGTCAGGTATGAGCCACGGGTAAACGCTTTCCCACACTCCTTACACTGGTAAGGTTTTTCACCAGTGTGAATTCTCTGATGGCCAATAAGGTCAGCTTTCCGGCTATAGGCTTTCCCGCACTGCTTACATTCATAGGGCTTTTCACCAGTGTGAGACCGCTGATGTTGAGTAAGGTCGGAGTCCAGACTAAAGGCTTTCCCACATTCCTTACATTTATGATGTTTCTCCTCACTGTGAATTCTCTTGGGACCAGGAACACCTGAAAAGAAACTCAATGTCGTGTCACATTCTTTATTTTTGTATGTTTTCTTACCAGTGTGAACTGTCTGATGTTGATTGTGGTCTGAGGCAGAATTAAAGGCTCTGTCACATTTAAATTCATTCGGTCCCTCTTCTGCATTGAGTTGCTGGTGCTGGTTATAAGCTTCGTTCTGATTTGAAGTTGACACCTTTTCACAGGTGACCATGGATGGCTTGAAATATTCCTGATGATTTTCGGGCTGTCTGTGAAGCTGATTTAATTCTGCACTATCACCTCTAAAACATAAACCTCTCAGGCTATGGTTTCTACAAATTTCTAGGACTTCCCACTGGCACACTTCTGTATCAGAAGCGCTATTTTTTTGAAATAACTTCTTGGTCTGCCCTATGGGATGAAAAGCAAGAATGTTAATATATAAAATATATATGGTTTTACTGTCCACATGAAATAAGATTCTTACACTGATCATTGTAAGGTAAAGCACATACGTCAGTGGCTCAAAATTCCCAAGTTTGGCCGGGCGCTGGTGGCTCACGCCTGTAATCCTAGCTACTCAGGAGGCTGAGATCTGAGGATCACGGTTCAAAGCCAGCCTGGGCAGGAAAGACTGTGGGACTCCTATCTCCAATAAACCACCAGAAAACTGGAAGTGGCGCTGTAGCTCAAGTGGTAGAGTGCTAGCCTTGAGCTGAAGAGCTGAAGACAGCCCCCAGGCCCAGAGTTCAAGCCCCACGACGGACAAAAAAAAAAAATTCCCAAGTTCGGGCTGGGAAGGTGGCTCAGTGGTAGAGCGCTTGCCTTGCATGCCTGAGGCCCTGGGTTTGATTCCTCAGCACCACATAAGCAAAAAGAAAAAAGCCGGAAATGGCGCTGTGGCTCAAGTGGTAGAGCGCTAGCCTTGAGCTGAAGAGCTGAGGGACAGCGCCCAGGCCCAGAGTTCAGGCCCCATGACCGGACTCAAAAAAAAAACAAAAACAAAAACAAAATTCCCAAGTTCTATGCAACAGGGAAAAAAGGGCAAGAAATAGAAATTTAAGACACCTAATTAGAGTTGAATTATGGGGCTGGGAATGTGACTTAGTGGTAGAGTTCTTGCCTAACATCCATGAAGCTCTGGGTTCAATTCCTCAGTACCACAAAAAAAGATAAAGCTGAGGGCTGGGAAGGTGGCTCAGTGGTAGAGTGCTTGCCTTGCATGCATGAGGCCCTGGGTTCGATTCCTCAGCACCACATAAGCAGAAAAAGCTGGAAGTGGCAGTTTGGCTCAAGTGGTAGAGCGCTAGCTTTGAGCTGAAGAGCTGAAGGACAGTGCTCAGGCCCAGAGTTCAGGCCCCATGACCGACAAAAAAAAAAGATAAGCTGGAAGTGGGGCTGTGGCTCAAAGTAGTAGAGCCTTGAGCAAAAGAGGCTCAGGGATAGTGTCCAGGACCTGAGTTCAAGTCTCAGGACTGGCAAAAAAAAAAAAAAAAGAGTTGAGTCATAAGAGGGACAGAAAATTGTTTAAAAAAAATCCAGGTATGAAGTGGCGCTATAGCTCAAGTGGTAGAGTGCTCGCCTTGAGCTGAAGAGCTGAGGGACAGTACCCAGACCCAGAATTCAAGCCCCACGACAAAAAAAAAAAAAAAAAAAAAATACACTTACAGCCAGGTGCTGGTGGCTCTAGCCTGTAATCCTAGCTACTCAGGAGCTAAGATCTAAGGATCGTGGTGCAAAGCCAGCCTGGGCAATAAAGTCTGCAGGAAAGTCTGTGAGATTTTTTTTTTTTTTCTGGTCGTGGGGCTTGAACTTTGGGCCTGGGCACTGTTCCTCAGCTCTTCAGTTCAAGAATAGCACTCTACCACTTGAGCTACAGTGCCACTTCTGGCTTTTTCTGCTTATGTGGTGCTGAGGAATCAGACCCAGGGCCTCATGAATGCAAGGCAAGTATTTTACCACTGAGCCACCTTCCCAGCCCCACCCGTGAGATTCTTATCTCCAATGAACCACCAGAAAACCGGATGTGGAGCTGTGGCTCAAAAATGATAGAATGCTAGCTTAGAGTTTAAAGAGCTCAGGAACAGTACCCAGGCCAGAAGTTCAAGCTCCATGACCAACAACAACAACAAAAAGAATGCCACTTATTTTTCCTTAATGTGAGGGGGAATAGGAGCACAAAAAAGCAGTGGTATCTGGAGTGCAGGCAGACTTCTCTTGAAAAGACTTACAGACATCTTAAGCAAAGCTTTATTGCTTTATCTAAGTCCTTTGGCCAGTGAGAAGATATTCTAGACTGCTCATTCAGAGACATTGCAGCTTCACCAAGCACTAGACTTTTATCTGTAATGAAGGCTACCCTATCCCTCAGCCCTCACTCACCTGGGTAAAGTCTTCTTGTCTCATCACTCAAATCTAACCAGGGGTCTTGACCATTCTCCAATAAGGAGAACACATGTGGTTGATAAATATAAAGTCCTGCCCAAAAGATTAAAAACAGGAAATAAACACATGGGCAAGGATTCCAGAATTTGCCTCTAGTCCCTTGTTTAAGGAAGAGAGACAATGGCTAGAAGGGCAAGAAAACAAGGGCAAGAAAATAAGATACAGGATTTCTTTTTTTTTCTTTGGGGGGGGGGGGGGTCCGGTCGTGGGGCCTGAACTCTGGGCCTGGGCGCTGTCCCTCAACTCTTCAGCTCAAGGTTAGCGCTCTACCACTTGAGCCACAGCGCCACTTCCGGCTTTTTTCTTTTTGCTTATGTGGTGCTGAGGAATCGAACCCAGGGCCTAAGGCCTGCAAGGCAAGCGCTCTACCACTGAGCCATCTTCCCAGCCCCAAGATACAGAATTTCTAAAGGATGGAGAGGTCCCCAGTGATGACCACTATTGCTAACTTTACAAAACACACTGTCCAGAAACCCCTACACACATCTGAAAAATAATCCAGTAATTGACAATACAAAATGCAAGCATTTGCAGAGTTTAAATCTGTTCTTACCCACTGAGACAAGGTTGCTGTAATTCTCAGACATCACATCTGTATATAAGTTTCTTTGCTCTGGGTTCAGGTACTCCCACTCCTCCTGGGAAAAATCTATGGCCACATCTCTGAACGTCATCACTTGCTAAAATGAAAAACACTAATGTGAATGGTGAATGGTAAATTTTAAAGAAATTCTTTTCTTTTTTTAAAATTTTCTTCTTCACAATATCTGCAGCCAAATTTATCCCCAGGCCCCAAGGTAAGAGACCCAGGGCCCATGAGCGGCAAGCTTGCTTTGGCAGTCATCTGGGCCAGCCCCCACCATGGCAGGATGGAAGTTGAATTTGACTTGACTGCATCAAGAAATTCTTTAGGCCAGACACCAGTGGCTCACACCTGTAATCCTAGCTACTCAGGAGGCTGAAATCTGAAGATCACAGTTCAAAGCCAGCCTAGCAGGAAAGTCCATGAGACTCTTTTTTTCCAATAAACTTCCAGAAAACCAGAAGTCGTACTGTGGCTCCAGTGGTAGAGTGCTAGCCTTAAGCAGAAGAGTTTAGGGACAGGCCCAGGCCCAGAGTTCAAGCCCCATGACTGATAAAAGGAAAAAAAATTAAAAACTCGAGTTGGTAGTCTATGGTAAGGGAGGAAATGACTTAGAAATATGTGTGACTAATAGCCAGGATATGGAAACAACCTAGATGTCCCACCATAGATGAATGGATCCAAAAATTGTGGCATCTATACACAATGGAATATTATGCAGCCATTAGAAAGGACAAAATAATGGCACTTTCAGGGAAATGGATGGAGCTAGAAGAAATCATGTTGAGCGAGGTAAGCCAAGAGCAAAGAGACAGACAGCACGTGGTCTCCCTGATAAATGGATGCTAAATCCAAAATGTAAGGTGATACGACAAAATTAATAAGACTTAAGAAACAAAGGACTTCCACTCATCTGGTTGAATCACTACTAAATAACCCCATGCTGCTGATCACATATATGGTATATATGTGCACACTGGAAGGAAACCAGGAAACAGAACTAGAGGGAATCAGGGAAAAACATACAACAGTGGAACCCATCAGCTGCACTGGACATTGATCAAAATGAACTAAGCAACTTAATGGCAGCAATGGGAAGGAGGGAACAAGTGGGAAAGAGGGAACAGCTGATGCTATGCAAAACAAAAGAAATGTACATACCACCCAATGTGGAAGAAATAACTGTATTGCAAAGCTCATAGAACTCATAAATGTTATAGACCATGATAGACAATTTGCTCCATGAAAGTTAAAATGTGTTTGTAACTTTAAGCATTACTATCCCACAATACTGTGAAATTTGGGAATTTTTATGTAACCTCTTAATCATAATAAAAAAATTTGAAAAAAAAAAAAAAAAGAAGTATGTGTGACTCATGCAGAAAACTAAAAGTGGACCTCAGCCTGTCACCATCCACAAACATCAACTCAAAATTGATTAAAGACCTTAACATCAAACCTGAAACTGCAGGACAGAGTAGGAGAGACATTTGAACTTATAGGCACAGGCAGGAACTCCCTGAACAGAGTTGCAGGGTCACAACAAACTGTAGAGAGACTTGACAAATGGGACTAACTTAAAATAAAACGTTTCTGTAAGGGCTGGGAAGATGACTTAGTGGTAGAGTGCTTGTCTTGCATGCATGAGGCCCTGGGTTCAATTCCTCAGTACCACATAAGCAGAAAAAGTTGGAAGTAAGCTGTAGCTCAAGTGGTAGAGTGCTAGCCTTGAGCTGAAGAGTTAAGGGACAGCGCCCAGGCCCAGAGTTCAAGCCCCATGACCAGCAATTAAAAAAAAAAAAAAAAAAAGTTTCTGTACATCTAAAGACATAGCTACCAAACTAGAAAGACAGCCAACCAATTGGGAAAAAATATTTACCAGGGGCTGGGAAGGTGGCTCAGTGGTAGAGCGCTTGCCTTGCATGCATGAGGCCCTGGGTTCAATTCCTCAGCACCACATAAGCAAAAAGAAAAAAGCCAGAGGTGGCGCTGTGGCTCAAGTGGTAGAGCGCTAGCCTTGAGCTGAAGAGCTGAGGGACAGCGCCCAGGCCCAGAGTTCAGCCCCCACGACCGGACCCAAAAAAAAAAAAAAATTTACCAGCAATATATCAGACAAAAGCCTAATATCTATTATATCCAGGGAACTGAAGAAACCAATCCCTCCCAAATCTAACAAACCGATCATTAAATGGACAAGAGAACTAAAGAGACTTCTCAGAAGAAGAGATAAAAATGGCAAAGGGGGCTGGGAAGGTGGCTCAATGGTAGAATGATTGCCTTGCATGCATGAGGCCCTGGGTTCGATTCCTCAGCACCACAGAAGCAGAAAAAGCCAGAAGTGGTGCTGTGGCTCAAGTGGTAGAGTGCTAGCCTTGAGCTGAAGAGCTGAGGGACAGAGCCCAGGCCCAGAGTTCAGGCCCCATGACTGACCAAAAAAAAAAAAAAAAAGGCAAAGAAACACATGAGGAAATGTTCATCATCCCTGGCAGTAAAGGAAATGCAAATACAAACAAATCTGAGATATCACCTTAACCCAGACAGAATGGCCCATATCCTAAATTCAGTCAACACAAATGCTGGCATGACTGTGGACAAAGAGGAACCCTAGGGGCTGGGAAGGTGGCTCAGTGGTAGAGCACTTGCTTTGCATGCCTGAGGCCCTGGGTTCGATTCCTCAGTACCACATAATCAAAAAGAAAAAAGCTGGAAGTAGTGCTGTGGCTCAAGTGGTAGTACGCTAGCCTTGAGCTGAAGAGCTGAGGTACAGCACCCAGGCCCAGAGTTCAGGCCCCACGACCGGACCCGCCCCCCCAAAAAAAGAGGAACCCTATTGCATTGCTGGTGGGAATGTACACTAATACAACCACTTTGGAAAGCAGTCTGGAGGTACCTCAGAGAGCTAAATATGGACTTCCCCTCCAACCCAGCCATACCATTCTTGCCCAGGAGAGGAACCAGGATACAAGGACACATGTACCTCCATGTTCAGTGCTGCACTACAGATGAATGGATCCAAAAATTGTGGTCCTATATACAATGGAATATTATGCAGCCATTAGAAAGGACAAAATAATGGCATTCACAGGAAAATGGATGGAACTAGAGCGAATCATTTTGAACAAGGTAAACCAAGAGCAAAGAGACACACAGCACATAGTCTCCCTGATATGTGGCTGTTAAATTCAAAATACAAGGAGATTATGACAAAGTAAGTTAGACTCACGAAACAAAAGACCTCTACTTAATTTGTCATATTCCTAAAGGACTCCATGTTTTTTACCTCATATGGTATAGATATAGGTGCATATCTGAGGGAAGCTAGGAGGAGGGCACAGAATCAGAGGGAAACAGGGGAAAATATACAACAGAGGGGCCCATCAGCTGCACTGGACGTTGATGAAAATGAAATAAACAACTCAAGCACAGTTATGGGAGGGAGGGAATGAGAGGGAAAGAGGGAATAGCTTACACTAAGCAAAAGGAAAGAAATGTACATATCACCTGATGTGGAAGAAATAGCTTTTAATTTTTATTTTTTGGTCGGTTGTAGGACTTGAACTCTAGGCCTGGGTACTGTCCCTGAGCTCTTCAGCTCAAGGCTAGCACTCTACTGTTTGAGCCACAGCACCACTTCTAGCCGTTTCTCTTTATGTGGTGCTGAGGGATCAAATGCAGGGCCTCATGCCTGCGAGGCAAGCACTCTACCGCTGAGCCATCTACTCAGCCCCATAGAAGAAATAGTTGTATTGTCAAAGCTTATAGAATTCATAAACTTTATAGACTATGATAATGACAATTTGCCTTGTGCAGGTTAAAATGTATTTGTGACTTTAAGTATCATTATTCCACAATACTGTGAAATTTGTGAAATTTATGTAAGCACAATCTCAGTAAAAAAAAAAAATGTGTTTTTTTTTTTGGTTGGTCGTGGGGTTTGAACTCTGGGCCTGGGCGCTGTCCCTCAGCTCTTCAGCTCAAGGCTACCGCTTTACCACTTGAGCTACAGCGCCACTTCCGGTTTTCTGGTGGTTTACTGGAGATAAGAGTTTCATGGACTTTCTTGGCAGGGCTGGCTTTGAACCATGATCCTCAGATTTCAGCCTCCTGAGCAGCTAGGATTATAGGCGTGAGCCACTGGCGCCCAGCTTAAAAAATTATTTTTTTAAAAAAGAGAAATATGTGTGACTAGAGGGCTGGGAATGTGGCTTGGTGATAGAGTGCTTGCCTTGCATGCATGAAGCCCTGAGTTTCATTCCCTAGTACCAGAAAAAAGCCAAAAGTAGCGCTGTGGCTCAAGTAGTAGAGTGGTAGCCTTGAACAAAAAAAGAAGCTCAGGGATACTGATCAGGCCCTGAGGTTCAAGCCCACGACTGGCAAAATAAATAAATAAAAAGAATTTACACCAATACATTTCAAAATTTTCTATGAAATGGAAAGGGAAAAAATAATGCCAAATAACTGAAGCCAGTTTAATATTCATTTCCAAAACCAGACAAGGACACAACAACAACAAAAAAAGTGAATTAGCCAGGCACCGGTGGCTCATGCCTGTAATCCTAGCTACTCAGGAGGCTGAGATCTGCGGATCGTGGTTCAAAAGCCAGCCTGGGCAAGAAACTCCATGAGACTCTTATCTCCAATAAACCATTCAGAAAACTAGAAGTGGCACTGTGGCTCAAGTGGTAGAGCGCTTGACTTGAGCTGAAGAGCTGAGGGACAGTGCCCAGGCCCAGGGTTCAGGCCCCACGACCGGACCAAAAAAAAAAAAAAGTGAATTACAGGCCAATCTTTTTGATAAACATACACATATATTCTTAATAAAAATACTTGTGAATTCCACAACACCTTAGAAAAAGATAATTTACTGTGACCAAGTATGTTTCATTCTAAAAGTGAAATTGTTATGTCATTTTCAAGAAAAGAGAACTGGAGACTTTCTTATTGATCACGTTAAACCAAGCTCAAAAAACAAATACTTGTTCATGCTAAGTCACAGAACTTAGGGGAAAAGGAAAGAAGGATACTGAGGAGTAAAGAGGATCAAGGTATGATACATATCATATATATATATATATATATATATATATATATACACACACACACACACACACATATACCTACATAAACACATATATGTGCATATACATACACACATATATACTATATATATATGTGACATATTAAGTCAGAAATCAGTAAACACTGAAAAGTGGGGGATTAGGAAAGGAACTATGAGAATATGGGAATGTAATTATAGGGGGTTATGTTCAAAGTACACTGTGCATGTATGTATTATCACAACAAAACTCTCATATTAATATATGGTAAGTCAAAAATTAAATTAAAAATATTCACATGAAGCTGGGCACTGGTAGCTCACACCTGTAATCCTAGCTAGTCAGGAGGCTGAGATCTGAGGATCACAGTTCAAAGCCAGCCCGGGCAGGAAAGTCCGTAGACTCTTACCTCCAATAAACCACTAAAAAATTGGAAGTGGTGCTGTGGCTCAAGTGGTAGAGCACTTGCCTTGAGCTGAAGAGTGCAAGGACGGAGCCCAAGCCCAGAGTTCAAGCCCCACGACTGACAAAAAAAAAAACAACAAAAAAAACCACATGATATACGTAAGTGTTTTTGGAGAAGATTCCAACTCACATGGGCCATGATTTAAAATTCCAAGAGTCAACAGGTCTTCTGGATTTCTTTCTTGGCAAAGCAGAGTCCTGAGAAAACAGAGCAAAAGGGAAAGAATTATGGTAGGTCAAATTTTCCTTAGAGTTTTCACAGACAAACGACAAGATCATTTTTCCTCCGCTGGAAGGTCAGTGGGAATCTGAGGAAATCCTGGCCCTATCCAAAACCAGAGACATAACTAAAACATAATGGTATTTCAACCCAACGGATTGTGCCGAAGTCATGAAGGATCAAGATATAAATCAAGATATAAAACCATGGTTGCCCTAAATGTCCCCTACAACTATACAGACCCTCAGTTGGAAATCCCCAGGGTCACCTCGAGGACAATGGAACTCTCCAAATATGCTTACCCAATCATCTCCTGAGTACTTTAAAGACAGTGCCTTTTACCTCTTCCATGTCCAACAAGGTCTATGACACTTGCCATTTTCATTTTCATCGAAAACATACCACAAAACCAAAGGTAATTATGAGGCCCAAATCATCCTGATTAGATACATTTAGTGAGATGACTAAGTAGCCTTTTCTGGGACACAAATTATGGAGTGTTTGGCCCAGGTAGACTGTCAGTTCCCTCCCAGTTCTGGCAACAGTCCTAAAAAAAAGGCTTTGGGGTTATAGCTTCATTTCAGAAGTAATAAGTAACCATTCTACATTTTTAAAACAAGGTTTAAATTAAGAGATATAGCAAGCTCCACCACACTCTTTGTCTTTGCTTTCTTACATTGTCACTGCAGCCTCTTCAATCAATGTAAAGACTTGCAGAAGTGAGTAAATAGTTTTTTTGGTTTTTTTTTTTGGTTTTTGCCTGTCATGGGGCCTGGGCGCTGTCCCACAGCTCAAGGCTAGCACTCTACCACTTGAGCCACAGCGCCACTTCTGGCTTTTTCTGCTTATGTGGTGCTGAGGAATCGAACCCAGGGCCTCATGCATGCAAGACAAGCACTCTACCACTGAGCCACCTTCCCAGCCCAAGTAAATAGTCCTGACCAACATTGAGTCCTGCTCTAGGATGACAACAACAAATATGGATTCAGGGAGCTGGAAGCATGGTTCAAGTAGTAGAGCACCAGCCTTGAACAAAAAGGCCACACACACACACACACACACACACACACACACACACACATACACAATTAATTGTGGAGACACACATATATGACAAAAATTTTCAATAAAGAAAATAGTATAGTCTACAATTCACAGTAAGCACATGCAGTAGGAATATCTATACATCAGCTAGCAAAACTGCAACAGTTAAGCTGGGGTGCAACTGAGTGGTAAACATTTGTTTAGCATACACAAGGTGTGAGTTCATTTCCAAACACCTCCACACACACAACTGCAGCTTTCACTAAGCAGATATTACAATTTACATAAAATTTCTTTAATCATAGATGATGTCAATACATCTCCCACATTTCAACACAAATCAAGTACAAAACAAATAAATACTAACTATACTAGGTCAAATAAGTACTAACCATACTAGGTCCAAAGAGAAAAAATTAAATCCCAAAGTTAAGAAGTAGCATAATGTAGCAAAACTATGTTCCCTATCTTTCACCTGAAGTCTGCATAAGACCAATTAGGGTTACATTCCCCTTAATGTCACAGAGATCCTGACTTCACAGCACTGAAGCCAAAACATGATTCCTTATCCTTTCAGGCGATCTAGACTAATCTCAGCCCATAATATTGAACAGAGTATGCCACCAATCTTAACCTTGTTGAAAATGTACTTTATGACCTTGAGTTTGGCAGGCACAGAAAAGTGACCATCTTTCCTTTTTCAAATATAAATTAACACCTTACATGTAAGCATGCTCAGAAATGTGCCTCACTCAAAAAAAAAAAAAAAAAACGCTTTCCATCTTACAGATGTTTATGCTTCCCAAATACACTTTCTTCCATCACAGAGAATATTACTTTGGTAATAATTCCAATGATCTCCTAATTTGGTGCAGATAATAACTCTTCCTCCAATCTCTTAAGTCTCCTGATTGTGCTGCTGTGTGGGGTTTTCTTGCTGTTGTTTCTTTTTATTTTTTGTTTGTTTTTTGGCCTTTGCAGTCGCTAGTTAAAGCTCGACTTAGGGGGCTGGGAAGGTGGTTCAGTGGTAGAGTGCTTGCCTCGCATGCATGAGGCCCTGGGTTCGATTCCTCAGCACCACATAAGCAAAAAGAAAAAAGCCGGAAGTGGCGCTGTGGCTCAAGTGGTAGAGCGCTAGCCTTGAGCTAAGAGCCGAGTGGCAGGTGCCCAGGCCCAGAGTGCAGGCCCCACGACGGGGGGGGGGGGGGGGGGGGGGGGGTGGGGGGGGGGATCGCCTTAGGCTCCATTCTCACTCCCTGACATCACTCACCACAATGATTTTTCCTTTTTGGTCCCCACAGCTGCTTGTCACCACGTTTACACAACAGTCACTCATATAGTAACAGCAGTAATAAACAAGAGAGCCACAATTTCTCTCACACACCCTGACGGCCCCGGCCACCATCACCTGCAGCCCCCTTTATGAGTTTCACAACTGGACTTCCTGTTCTCTCACCGGCACGCTCTTCACTGCACGCCTACCACACCGCCTCTCCTCCTAGCCCCAAGTCCTTCAGATTCCCGGCTTCAGACTCACCTTTGTCGGATCCTGAAATCTAAAAACCATCGAACCCTTCACGGTGACTTCAAGCGATCTCTCAACGGTCCGCAAAGAAGTCGTACAGAGGACAGGAAGTTGCCTCAGGTATGGTGCACTCTGGGACATGTAGTCCAGAGCCCAGACACCCATTAACAGTCTAGAACCTGACGGCCTCAAGCGCAGGCCCCGGCTTTAGACTGCATCCCTTCACTCGGCAAAGAAAACAACACATACTTCTGGTACCTGTGGAGAAGCGCCTTAGAGTTCTCCACGTCTGTTTACATTGTTTCACCTGAGGACTTCATGCTTTTTTCTCCGCAAACCGGTAGCATCTCCCGGAAACCAGGTCTCGCGCCACCTCTGTCTTTGGACCGGAATGCGTCATAGACAGGAAGTGGTATTGGACTGAAGGCTTCTGGGATATGTAGTTCCAAGGCTGGGAGGCGTAGAAACTCGTTTCGGAGGGTGGGGCAGTTTTCAGCGGGTGCTTGCAGTGCACTGACAGTTAACATGTGGCTGTCAACTTAGCTACCGGCACCCAACCAAAAATTACACATATTTCACTAAAATTTAAAATATTACGTTGCTGGGTGGCTCATGCTACTCGGGAGGTTGATACCTGGAGAATTGAAGCTCAACGAAGCCAGCCTGGCAGAAAAGTCTGAGACTCGATCTCCAAGTAAACAAAAATCATGCTTTAAGCCAGGTGCTGGTGGCTCAGGAGGCTGAGATCTAAGGATTGTGGTTCAAAGCCAGACTGGGCAGGAAAGTTCCTGACATGCTTATCTCCAATTAATCACAGGAAAAGCTGGAAATGGTGCTGTGGCTCAAGTGATACCTAGTGCTAGCCTTGAGCAAAAGTTGCTCAGGGGTAGCTCCTAGGCTTCTGAGTTGAAGACTCAAGACCGTAGCGGGGTGGGGGGTAAAAAAATCAGGCTTGAGGCATGACTTGTGATTAGAACACCAGCTCTGAGTAAACAAGCTGAGCTAGTGTAAGAACCCCCCGCCCCACACTCACTGTGTGAATGTTTGGTGTGATTTGCTTAGGCTGCAGCCACCTTGCAGTCCCTGGGTTAAGTATAGTTGTAGGAAGATTAATAAAACCATAGGCTACTAGGAGCTAGAGGAGCATATAGGGAGACTGATGTGGGAACATGTTAGAAGTCAGTGTGAAGGGCTGGGAAGGTGGCTCAGTGGTACAGTGCTTGCCTCGCATGCATGAAGCCCTGGGTTTGATTCCTCAGCACCACACAAGCAGAAAAAGCCAGAAGTGGCGCTGTGGCTCAAGTGGTAGAGTGCTTGCCTTGAGCTGAAGAGATGAGGAACAGTGCCCAAGCCCAGAGTTCAGGCCCCATGACCAACAAAAAAGAAAAAAAGCAAAGAAAAGAAAGAAATCTGATCACCATGAATAAAAATGGCCTGTTTATTGTAATACTTACAGAACAAATTTTCCCAACTTGTGAAATTCCATAATGGCAATACTTTGAGAATGAACTGCCAATTAAAAGTAATTTATAAATTACTATGTGTACACATACAGAACATTGCTTAATTTGTATAATACTAAAAGATACCAGGAATTGTATTCATGAGAAATTACTGAACTAAAAGTATATTTTCAAGGTAAAAAATTCTTATTCATTCCTACAAAAGTTTATATATCCCAAGTTACGTACCTAGGATCATGGATCAATAAATACTGGACTCACCAAACATATATATTTCTTCATCTATCTTCATAAGGGAATGTTTTCTGAATTTTTTTTCTTGTGGTGTACTTTGCTACATTCAGTACTGAGATTTGAACTCATCTCTGATTCACAGGATTTCCTACCAACATCAAAATTCTGATTTTGGGTAAACTGCTTCTCAACAGCATGAATTTTCTAAAGTTGTGCTAGGTGTGAACCATAGCTACAAGCTTTCCCATATTTCTTACATTCATAAGGTTTTTCACCAAGGTGAATTTTCTATGTTTAATAAGATATGGTCACTGACTAATGGGTTTTCTACAACCAATACATTCTTTGTCTTTGCACTACTGTGAACTCTCTGATGTTTAATAAGATGGGACTGTTGACTAAAGGCCTTCCCACACTCATTGCACTCATAGGGCCTCTCACCAGTATGGATTCTCTGGTGTCGAGTAAGATCAGATCCAGAAGTAAAGGCCTTCCCACATTCCTTGCACTCATAAGGCTTTTCGCCAGTATGAAATCTCTGATGTCGAGTGAGATCTGAGCTATAACTAAATGCCTTCCCACATTCCTTACATTTGAAAGGTTTCTTCCTGGTATGAATTCCTTTTAGATCAGTCTCGCCTGCACCACAGCTTAAATCCTTGCCACAATCTTTATATTCACCTTTTTTCTTACTACCATGAACTGACTGACATGGAGTATGTTCTGAATCAAGTTGGAAGGATTCTCCACATCCCTTATCTTCACACATCTTTTCAGCACTGTGAATTAATTGATGCTGGGTATAGTCTAAGTCAGAATGAAAGGCTTGCCCACATTCTGTACATTTATGAGTTTTCTCACTGGCATGAATTTTCTGATGTTGAGTTAGGTTGGAGCCACGAGTAAAAGCTTTCCCACATTCCTTACACTGATAAGGTTTTATACCAGTATGAATTCTTTGATGCCGACTCAGGTCTGATCTACAACTAAAGGCCTTCCCACATTCCTTACACACATAGGGCCTCTCACCAGTATGACTCCTGTGATGGCGAGTAAGGTCTGATCCACAACTGAAAGCCTTTCCACATACTTTACATTTAAAGGGTTTCTCCCCAGGAGGAAGTCTCTTTAGACGATTAACACTTGAGCGCAAACTAAAGGCTTTGCCACATTCTTTACATTTATATGTTTTCTTACCAGTATGGATGGAGGGATACTCACTGAGTTCTGAGTCAGGCAAAAAGGTCTTCCCATTTTCCTTATCTTCAAAGAATTTCTCACCAGTATACAGAAACTGATGTTGAGGATGGTTGGAGCCAGAGCTAAAGGCTTTTTCACAGTCCTTACATTTATGTAGTCTCTCCCCAGTATGGATTTTCTGATGTTGAGTGAGTTGTGACCCACAAGTAAAAGCTTTCCCGCACTCCTTACAGACATAGGGCTTTTCACCAGTGTGGATTCTGTAATGTTTAATAAGATGGGATTGCTGACTAAAGGCCTTCCCACATTCATTACATTCATAGGGCTTTTCACCAGTATGAATTCTCTGGTGTCGAGTAAGGTCTGAGCCACAGCTGAAGGCTTTCCCACACTCCTGACATTCATAGGGCTTCTCACCAGTATGAATTCTGTGATGTCGAGTTAGGTCTGAGCTATAATTAAAAGACTTCCCGCATTCCTTACATTCATAAAATTTCTCCCCAGTATGAATTCGTTTATGGACACTAAGTAGTGAGTGAAATCGAAAGGCCTTCCCACATTCCTTACATTTATAAGGTTTCTCCCCTGTATGAATTCGCATATGACCAGTAAGACTTGACCGGAAACTAAAAGCCTTGCCACATTCTTTACATTCAAATGTTTTCTTACCAGGGTGAACTGACTGATATTGAGTAAGTTCTAAATCAAGAATGAAAGTTTTCCCATGCTCCTGATCTTCCCATAATTTCTCACCCGTATGAATTAACTGATTTTGAGTATCATCTGAGCCAAAACTAAAGTCTTCTTCACATTTATGTGCATACAGTGTGTCTCCTGTACTGAGTCCAGCATGTTGAGTGAAAGTTGAGAGCTGGTTGGAAGTAGGTGTTTTTTCATAGGTGGCTGTGACTTGCTGGCAATGTGAATCGTTTTCATACTGTGTTTCTGGTGGACTTTTACTTTCACAATCACCTGACAAGCAGAAACCTTCAAGGCTGTCATTTGTACAGACTTCCAGGATTTCCCATGGGGATAATACACTTTCAAGTGACCTATTTTTTGATATCTTCCTGGCCTGCCATGTGGACTGTAGATCTGAAATAAATAAATAAATAAAAATAAATAAATAAAATCTGAAATTCTGGATAGCATGAAAGAAATGGCAGTAAATAAACAGAATTTTTATTTATTTATTTTTTGTTGGTCCTGGGCCTAAACTCAGGGCCCAGGGTGCTGTTCCTGAGCTTTTTCACTCAAAGCCAACATGGGCAGGAAAGTCCATGAGGCTCTTCACTTGAATTGACAAACAAAAAAGCCAAAAGTGGAGCTGTGGCTCAAGTGGTAGAGTGCCAGCCTTGACCACAAAAGCAAAGGGACAGCACCCAGGCCCTGAGTTCAAGCCTGAGTACCAACACCAAAAAAAAAAAAAGGACTGTCCAAGTTAAAGACTTTCAATTGTTTCACACCATGTGGTACACTCATCTCAGCACATGCTAGATTTTTGTTTTTGTTTTTGTCAGTCATGGGGCTTGAACTCTGGGCCTGGACTCTGTCCCTCAGCTCTTCAGCTCAAGGCAAGCTCTCTACCACTTGAGCCACAGTGCCACTTCCAGTTTTCTGGTGGTTCATGGGAGATAAGGGTCTCACGGACTTTCCTGACCCAGCTGGCTTTGAAGTACAATACTCAGATCTCAGCCTCCTGAGTAGCTAGGATTACAGGCATGGGCCACTGGCACCAAGCTCTGTGAGACTCTTATTGCCAATTAACCACCAGAAAACCGGAAGTGGAGCTGTGGCTCAAAGTGGCAAAGCACGAGCCTTAAACCAAACAGCTCAGGGACAGTGCCCAGGCCCTGAGTTTAAGCCCTATGACCAACGAAAATAAAAAATAAGGGGCTGAGAAGGTGGCTCAGTGGTAGAGCGTTTGCCTTGCATGCCTGAGGCCCTGTGTTCGATTCCTCAGTACCACATAAGCAAAAAGAAGAAAAAGCCGGAAGTGGCGCTGTGGCTCAAGAGGTAGAGCGCTAGCCTTGAGCTGAAGAGCTGAGGGACAGTGCCCAGGCCCAGAGTTCAGGCCCCACGACCGGACCAAAAAAAAAAAAGAAATTTTCCCATCACTGATAGCCACTTCCGGCTTTTTTCTTTTTGCTTATGTGGTGCTAAGGAATCGAACCCAGGGTCTCAGGCATGCAAGGCAAGCGATCTACCACTGAGCCACCTTCCCAGCCCTTAAAACTTTTTTTTTGTTGGTCTTGGGGCTTCAACTCAGGGCTTGGGCGTTGTCCCTGATCTCTTTTTCTCAAGGCCAGTGCTCCACCACTTTGAGCCATAGCTCCACTTCTGGTTTTCTGGCGGTTAATTGGACTTTCTTGACCAGGTTGGCTTTGAACCATGATTCTCAGATCTCAGTATTCCTGAGCAGCTAGGATTAAAGGCACAAGCCACCAGCATATGCTTTTTTTTTTTTTTTTCCCTAGTGTCCTGGGGCTTGAACTCAGAGCCTCAGCACTGTTCCTCAGCTACTTTGTGCACAAGGATGACTCTCTACCACTGGAGCCACAGCGCAACTTCTGGCTTTTTCTAAGTAGTTTATTGGAGATATGAATCTCCTGGACTTTCCTGCCCAGGTTAGATTCAAACCGCAATCCTAAGATCTCTTGAATAGCTAGGATTACAGACATGACCCACCGATGCCTGGCTAAAAACTAATTTTTTAACTCATACAAATGGTTTGTATGAATCATTTTCTGGACTGTTGGTCCCTTCCAGTTTGGAGTATTTCTCCATGAAATTAACCCAACAAATGGAAGGCACCCGATCTAAACCATCCACAAAATAATGGCCCCTGGGGAAAAAGAATAGCAGCTTAGCACTTTGTAACGTGAGGAACAAACACGGAAATGTAATAGTGTATGTAAAAGAGATTTCTTTCAGAAATGCTTTGTAGCTTTATCTCTGGCTTTTATCTAAGTCCTCTGGCCAGTGAAAGGATACTCCAGACTGACCTTTCAGAGGTACTGCTTCCTTACTAGGTAACTAGGATCTCTTCTATAATCAGGGCCACCCTGTCTCTCAGTCCTTACTCACCTGGGCAAAATCCTCTTCTCTCCTCATCCAGTTCTATCCAAGCCTCTTGTTCTTTTTCCAATAAGGAGATCACATGTGGCTGGTAAATGCTAAGTCCTAAATAAAAATACATGTCATTTTCCTGGAAATACATGTCAAATCTCCTAGACATCTGAAAAACATGCAATCATCAGTAATACAGAATGCAGAAGTTTCTAGCATCAGATTCTGTTCTTACCCACTGAGACAAAGTTGCTATAGTTCTCAGACATCACATCTGTGTACAAGTTTCTCTGCTCTGGGTTCAGGTACTCCCATTCCTCCTGGGAGAACTGTATGGCCACATCTCTGAAGGTCATCACCTGGTGGAAGGAAAAACAAGTATGAATGGATAAATTCCAACAAACTTTTTAGATGGAAAAGACAGAAAAGGACACAGCAGGGGATGAGACATGAAATGAATAAAAACTAGAGTTGGAATTCTAGGGTATGGGAGAAACAACATGGAAATATGTATGACTAAAGCTGAGTACCTACAAGCACTTAAAAACTATGGCTCAGCTGGGTGCTGGTGGCTCATGCCTGTATTCCTAGTTACTCAGAAGGCTGAGATCTGAGGATCACAGTTCAAAGCCAGCCTGGGCAGGAAAGTCTAGAAGACTCTTAGGTCCAGTAAACTACTTAAAAAAAGATGGAAGTGGCACTGTGGCTCAAGTGGTAAAGTGCTAGCCTTGAGCAAAAGGATCTCAGTGTCCAGGCCCAGAGTTTAAGCCCCAGGATGGGCAACAGAGAGAGAGAGAGAAAGAGAGAGACACAGAGCGAGAGACACTGCGAGAGTGAAAGGGGGGGGGCGCACAATAAATCCCAGGGTGTTCCTCAAGTCCACAGGTTTGCAAGAAATTGAGCCCAAGACACTGGAGCCATAGTGCTAAATACATGATAAATTATACAGGACTCTAGGCATTCACACACAGTGAGACCAAAGAAAGATACTCTTAGGAGAGGAACATAAAAGTGCAATGCCTATGTGCATCTGATCATATAAAATAATATTTATTGGGCTGAGAATGTGGCTTAGTGGTAGAGTGCTTACCTAGCATGCATGAAGTCCTGGGTTCGATTCCTCAGGACCACATAAACAGAAAAAGCTGGAAGTGGCACTGTGGCTCAAATGCTAGAGTGCTAGCCTTGAGCAAAAGCTCAGGGACAATGCCCAGGCCTGAGTTCAAGCCCCAGGACTGGCCAAAAAAAAAACAACCAAAAACCAAAACAATAGTAATATTTATTGAAATAAACTCCAGGAAATGGAAACCAGAGATTTTTTTTTTCTTTGTTGCTATTTTGGTTTTATTTTCTTTTTGTCTTGTTTGTTCACTTATTTGTCTTTGAGACAGTAAGAGGGGTACAGAAATAGAGGGACAAAGGTTAAACAAATGCAACTGTGGTACTCACTACATACTATGTGGATCACACAACTTATGGGTAGGGATGGGAGGGGAAAAAATAGAGCAAGGGAAGAGGTGATATTATCCAAAAAGAAATGTATTCTTTACATGATTTATATAACTGTACCCCTCTGTACATTACATTTATAATAAAAAAAAAATTTAAAAAGAGGTGCTAACTGGGGGCTGGGAAGGTGGCTCAGTGGTAGAGCACTTGCCTTGCATGCCTGAGGTCCTGGGTTCGATTTCTCAGCACCACATAAGCAAAAAGAAAAAGCCAGAAGTGGTGCTGTGGCTCAAGTGGTAGAGCGCTAGCCTTGAGCTGAAGAGCTGAGGGACAGCACTCAGGCCCAGAGTTCAGGCCCCACAACTGGACCCAAAGGAAAAAAAAAAAAAAAAGAGGTGCTAACTTTCTGTATGACAAAAATGTACAAACAGAAAGGAAAATCATGAAGACTACTGAATTTGTAATAGTCTCAAACAAAATCAACCAAAAAAACCCTAGGAATTAACCTAACCAAAGATACAAAAGATCTTTCTAGCAAAAACTATAAAAATCTGAAGAACGAAATCAAAGAGGACACCAGGAAATGGAAAGACCTTTCATGTTCATGGATAAGTAGGATCAATATCATGAAAACGGCTATACTGCCAAAAATGATAGACAAATTCAATGCAATCTACATCAAAATCCCAATTACATTCTTTATTGATAGAGAAAACAATAAAAAAAATTCATATGAAACAAAAGACCTAGAAAAGCCAAAGCAATTCTAGAGAAAAAAAAGCAATGGGCCGGGTGCTAGTAGCTCATGCCTGTAATCCTAGCTACTCAGGAGGCTGAGATCTGAGGATCGCAGCAAAGCCAGCCCAAGTGGGATAGTCCATGAGACTCTTATCTCCAATTAACCACCAGTAAACCAGAAGTGGCGCTGTGGCTCAAGTGGTAGAGTGCTAGCCTTGAGTTGAAGAGCTCTGGGACAGCGCCCAGGCCTAGAGTTCAAGAACCATGACAAAAAAAAAAAAAAAAAACCAACAAAGAAAACCATTGGGAGCTGGAAAGATGGCTCAGTGATAGAGCGCTTGCCTTGCATGCATGAGGCCCTGGGTTCGATTCCTCAGCACTACATAAGCAAAAAGAAAAAAGCTGGAAGTGGTGCTGTGGCTCAAGTGGTAGAGCTCTAGCCTTGAGCTGAAGAGCTGAGGGACAGTGCCCAGGCCCAGAGTTCAGGCCCCACAACCAGATCCCCCCCAAAAAAACAAAACAAAACAACAACAAAAACAAAATCATTGGATGATATTACAATACCAGAACTCAAGCTCTATGACAGAGTCATAATAACAACAACAGTTTGGTTTTGGCACAAAAAATAGAGCCAAAAATCAAAGGAATAGATTAGAAGACCCAGAAATACCATACACTTACAGTTATCTGATATTTGACAAAGAAGCCAAAGATACACAGTGGAAAAAACATAGCCTCCTCAACAATTGGTGTTGGAAAAACTGTCATATGCAAAAAGGTAAAAATGAATCTCTGTTTGTCACCATGCTCTAATATCAATTCAAAGTGAATCAAAGACCTCAGACCCAAAACTCTGAAACTATTACAAGAGAGAGTAGGAAAGACATTAAAACTTATAGGCATAGGGGCTGGGAAGGTGGCTCAGTGGTAGAGCACTTGCCTTGCATGCCTGAAGCCCTGGGTTCGATTCCTCAGCACCACATAAGCAAAAAGAAAAAAGCCGGAAGTGGCGCTGTGGCTCAAGTGGTAGAGCGCTAGCCTTGAGCTGAAGAGCTGAGGGACAGTGCCCAGGCCCAGAGTTCAGGCCCCATGACCGGACCCAAAAAAAACAAAAAAACAAAAAACTTATAGGCATAGGAAGGAACTTCCTGAATAGGATCCCAAGGGCACAATAGATAGGAGAGAGACTTGACAAATGGGACTACATTAAAATAAAAAGTTTCTTCTAAGGATATAGTTACCAAACTAGAAAGACAGCCAACAAACTGGGAAAAGAGCTTTACCAGCAATATATCAGACAAAGACTTAATATCCAATATATACAAGGAGCTCAAGAAACAAACCCCTCCCTAACCTAATAAACCAATCACTAAATGGGCAAGGGAGCTAAGGAGAGACTTCTCAGAAGAGGTAAGAATGGCAAAGAAACACGAGGAAATGCTCATCATCCCTGGCCATAAAGGAAATGCAAATTTAAAATCTAAATGCAAATGTGGCTTAGTGGTAGAGTGCTTGCCTAGCATGCATGAAGTCCTGAGTACCACATAAACCGAAAAAGCCAGAAGTGGCACTGTGGCTCAAGTGGTAGAGTGTTAGCCTTGAACAAAAAGCTCAGGGAAAGTGCCCAGGCCCTGAGTTTAAGCCCCAGGATTATTAAAACATAACAACAAAAACAAAAAACACCTCTGAGATTCCATCTCACTCTAGTAAAATTGGCCAATATTGTGAATTTGAACAGCAAATGTTGCTGGGGAAAAAGGAACCCTATTGCACTGCTGGTGGGAATGTAAATTAGTACAACCACCCTGGACAGCAGTCTGGAGGTTCCTCCAAAACTAAACACAAACCTTTTCTATAACACAGTCATACCACCATACCACTCCTAGACATCTACCATGAACATCATGAGCCAGGATATGACAAGGACACTTGCCCATCCATGTTCTTTGCCATACTATTCACAATAGCCAAGATATGGAAACAGCCTAGATGCCCCACAATAGATGAGTAGATCCAAAAAAATGTGATACCTATACTCAATGGAATTTTACACAGTCATTAGAAAGAATAAAATAATAGCATTTTCAGGGAAATGGATGGAACTAGAACAAATCATGTTAATTGAGGTAAGCCAAGTTTAGACAAGTTCAGAGAGGTATGTGGAAGTTAGATCTAAAATGCTCTGGGACATTACAAATTATACAGGATTCTACATACATACAACAGGACACAAGGCAAAATGCCTGTTACTGTTCATATTTATATAAAATAATATAAAAACTGAAATAAATTCCAAGATATAGAAATAAAAGTTTTTTTTAAAAGTTTTTCATGATTCTGACTTCTTTACCTTACGTACAGTGTATTGACATGGGTATCTTCTGGAGGGTGGTATGGGGAGGACACAGAACTGGAGGGGAAAAGGGTGAAAAAGTAAAGCGATGGAACTCACTGGACATAGAAGAAAGTGAACGATACAACACTTGGGTGGAGATGGGAGGGAGGGACAGGGAGAAAATGAGGGAACAGAAGACACTGTAAGGTAAGGAAATATACTCATTATCTGACTCATGTAATTGTAATCCCTCTATACATCACCACTATAATAACAAAGTAAATTTTTAAAAATATTTTTCTGTGGAGAATGTATAAGGTTTCAAGACATTGCCAGGCAGCTTGCCAGTTAACATATGTTTGACATATGACATTCATGTCTCACTAATTTCTTGGTAGGATGCTAGATCTCTGAGCTCAGTGTCACCACATAACCTTTAAGCACCACAAAACACCACATACTGAAATGAATTACCAATCAATACCAATTCCCACCTTGACTAATTTAAGCACTCCATTGTATGGAAAAAAATGAACATTTTCATGTCCTGTATCTCATTTCACCATTCAGTCACACCTTGTAAAGCTATGGATTAGAAATCAAACACTCTAATATTCCTTCCACAGAAATATATTTCCTCTCCTTCAATCCTCTGTAGAAGATCAGAGCATAGAAGATACAGCTTGCTCTATGAGATACATTTGGGAATACTAATTGGACAAAGAAGGGCCATCGAGGGAAGTTACTAGATTCATGAATACCACTTCACTCTGACAAAGGTAAATAGTTTAAAGATAAGTGAGGGCTGAGAAGGTGGCTCAGTGGTAGAGCGCTTGCTCAAGGCCCTGGGTTCGATTCCTCAGCACCACATAAGCAAAAAGAAAAAAGCTGGAAGTGGCGCTGTGGCTCAAGTGGTAGAGCGCTAGCCTTGAGCTGAAGAACTGAGGGACAGCGCCCAGGCCCAGAGTTCAGGCCCCACGACCAGACCCAAAAAATAAATAAATAAATAAATAAAGATAAGTGATAAGTCTGGAACTGATGGCTCAAGCCTGTAATTCTAGCTAGTAAGGAGGTTGAGATCTGAAGCACAAGGTTCAAAGCCAGCCTGTGCAGGGAAGACTGTGCAACTTTTTTTTTTTTTTTTTGCTTGTTGTTCTGAAAACCGTGGTATCACCACATCCACTCAAGTGGGACACCCCCAAACCAGTCCTGATACTCTTGCTCATGAAGGTACAGGTCATCACCACAAGGAGAAGACCTGGCCCTGTTGAGCCCTGTGAGACTGTTATCTCCAACTAACCCCAGAAAACTGGATGTGGCACTGTGGCTTAAAGTGGTAGATCACTAGCCTTAATGGAAGAAACTCAGGAACAGCACCCAGGCCCTAAGTTCAAGCCCCATGACTGACAAACAAACAAACACATAAATAATTAAATAAAAATAAAAAATTTAACAGGCACCAGAGGCTCACACCTGTATCCTAACCACTCAGGATGTACTACTGAGGATCACTGAAGACAGCCTGCCTGGCAGGAAAGCCCATGAGATTCTTATGTCAAATTAATCAGAAAAAGTAAAGCCATACCTCAAGTGGTAGAATGTTAGTTTTGAGCAAAAGGAGCTCAGGAACAGTCCCCTGGCCCAAAGTTCAAAAACCCCCTGGGCCCAAAGTTCAAAAGCACCAGGACCAGGAAAAAAAAAAAAAAAAGATTGTATGATATAAATGATTATGTCTGTGGAGGAAATTTCAGCTCACCTGGGCCATGATTTAAAATTCTAAGAGTGGACAGGTCCTGTGGAATCCTCTCTTGGCAAAGCAGAGTCCTGAGAAAGGAGAGCAAAAGGAAATGAATGACCAGGCTTTCTTCAGGGTGTTCACATGGAGAAAACCTAGTGGAAATCTGAGGAAATTCTGGCTCTATCAAAAACCAAAGAGACAGAACTAAGATGGAATGGAGTTTCAAGCAATTGAGGCCCTAGTGCAGAGTTTGACTGCAAATGCATGAGACCCTGGAGCCAGGCCCTTCCTAATAAGCCTCTCCTGAATAAGAAATAAAAATTCATCAATCCTGGAGTATTTCCATATATCTCTCTCAATCTAAGACAAATTATTAAGGGCAAAACCAGTACGTAACTACAGATTGACCATATTTTAGATTGCAAAGAAAGAAGTTAATAAATGTCAAAGATAAAAACATCACAATGTAGCCAGGCACTGGTGGCTCACACCTGTAATCCTAGCTACTCAAAAGGCTGAGGATGGTGGTTTAAAGTCAGCTGTGGCAGGAAAGTCTGAGAGACTCTAATCTCCAATGAACAACCAAAAACAAGCTGTTAGTGGTACGGTGCCATTCTTGAGCGAAAAAACTAAGGGACAGCATCCAAGCCCTGAGTTCAAGTCCTCCAGCCAACACACACACACACACACACACACACACACACACACACACACCCCTCCAGCCAACACACACACACACACACACACACACACACACACACACACACGAAAAAAGAAAAAAAGAAATAAAGAAAAAAGAAATGTATACCTTAAAGTAAGTCTAGGAATGTAGCCCACTTAAAGAGTTGCCCTAGGAGCTGGAACATGGCTTAGTGGTAGTATGTTTGCCTAGCATGCATGAAGCCCTGAGTTCCATTCCTCAGTACCACATAAACAGAAAAAGCTGGAAGTGGCCCTATGGCTCATGTGGCAGATTACTAGCCCTGAGAAAAAAGAAGCTCAGGGACGGTGCTCAGGCCCTGAATTCAAGTCTCAGGACTGGCAAAAAAAAAAAAAAAAGAGCTGTCCTACATGCATATATATGTATATGTACATATATATGTACACACATAGTATGTGCATGTTATGTATACATACAGTATATGTGCATATATCATACATATATATCTATATGTTACATACATATAGATTTATACATATATATTATATACAAATATATATTTATGGCTCCCAGAATTCTTCCTTCCAGACAATATTGCAAAATAACCCAGTGTTCTCCTCAACGACGGTGATTAATAAACCTTCCTGTTCTTTTTATCTCCTGGTTGTGCTTTCGATGTTCGCATTCACCAGTCAACCATCGCCTCCACTTACACCTTCACTTCCAGAAATGATTAGGTCATTAAACACCACGTTTTGTGCTCCTCCCCGCCCCCCGCTGCTATTACATTCATGACCATGGACCTTCACACAGTAGTGCAATCGTAACCATGTATATCTAATCCGAACTGTTCATCACACACACAGCCGGCTCCTGTCACCACCCAGTACGCAAACACACCAACACCCCTAGATCCCGCTACACACCACTCCTCACCCTCCCCCTAGGGTCAAATTCACACTCTTTACCTCGAATCCCGTAGGAAGCACAATCCGCACACGCACGCACGCACCAACAACACCACAATCAGACACAACACCGCTCCAGGCCTTACACCGACACTCGTTCCGTACCAACTGCGCAAGGTAAAAAAAATTAGAACGTCCAGCCGGGACTCCTGTCACGACCCGCCGTGATTCCTCTCCCGTCCTCTAAAGGACTCCCAACTCCAACCGGAAGTTACCCAGGCCGCTGCACACTCTGGGAAATGTAGTCCACAGTCAGGAGGGTCTTTTAACAGCCGATTACCAAGCTATCTCAATCTCCAGGTACTGACTTTAGACTGGACTCTTTCTCTTAGCATAAGACACCGCTACCCACCGCTCACATCTATGTCCAAAACCTTGAAATTTGTATAGGCTCTATTTAAATGTACCTATTGAGTCCTCCCTGTTGCTCTTCCTGTGCAAACCGGAACCTCACCAACGCCATTTTGGACTCGGAGTCGCTAGGATGACATGATTCCTGGGAAATGTAGTCCAGAGGCTGGGAAGACAAGAATGGTGAGATTCTGTGGCGTAGCCTTGAAATTCCTGTAAAATGGTGTCAAGGTAGGACCAGTCTGTATTGTCTGTGCGTAAGCCTTAAGCCGCCTGCCTTCCTTCTTAAAGCACCAACCTGGGGCTAGCTTTAAACGAACGGGAGAGGGAGCTTGTAGGACTCAGTACCCAGCCCAAACCTGGTCTTGTGTCTGAGAATCCACAGAAACAGCTCCCAGAAGACTACCATCCTGATTTTTAGAATATTAATACCTTGACCTGTCAGTTTTCATCTATTTTTGAAATTTACATGCATGCAATCGGACTGTATGAATCTTGTCTCTTCCTTAGTTATTAAAATTCCTGCCTTAACCCTTCCCCTCCCCCCCCCCCAGGTGAAAAGCTTTCAAGAAGGAAAGGTATGCCCACTCAGGCATAAAAATTTTTTCTTCAATTACTACTGAGATCAAGAGACCTCCAAATCAACCCAAGCTTTGGTGATTCACTGGGAGGGTCACAGTGAAATGACACAAAGCAAAATCTACATAGAGAAAAGGAATGTGGAGGCAAAGACCAGGGGAAACAAGCCACATGCTCCTAAGGAAATTTTCACAGTGAAATCATCCCAGGCATCCATTCCTCCAGCAATGTGACAATGCATAGGACATGTTGCCAAACAAGAAATTTTATTAGAGATTCCTTGCTTTTGGTTTTGTTTTGTTTTGTTTTTAATTTCTTGGGGCTGGTCCCATAGAGAGCTGTGATTCAGGAATATCAGAACTTCACATTCTCAGCAGGAAAGCAGGTGTTTAACATAAGCCATACCTTTGTACAAACAGTTCTGGAATACTGAACTGTGAATAGTGGGAAGCTTTCTGCACACTACTGTCCTCTAACAACAATGAATACAAGGTGAATTTAAAAGGAAGAAAAATTGCTGGGCGCCAGTGGCTCATGCCTGTAATCCTAGCTACTCAGGAGGCTGAGATCTGATAATCACGGTTCAAAGCCAGCCTGGGCAGGACTCTTATCTCCAATAAACCACTAGAAAACTGGAAGTAGTGCTGTGGCTCTAGTGGTAGAGCGGTCACCTTGAGCTGAAGAGCACAGGGACAGCACCCAGGCCCAGAGTTCAAGTCCCAGGACCAACAAAAAAAAAAAAAAAAGGAAGAAAAATTAAAATGCAAAAGCAACACAGCTAGACTCAGATAATATCCAGATGTTGGACTATCCAATAAGCAAGTTAAAATTACTGTGATTAAGCCAGTGGCTTGTACTTGTAATCTTTGCTATGCAGGAGGCTGAGATCTGAGGATCAAAGCTAGCCAGGCAGAACAGTTCAAGAGACTTTTTTTTTTTTTTTGGGTCCGGTCGTGGGGCCTGAACTCTGGGCCTGGGCGCTGTCCCTCAGCTCTTCAGCTCAAGGTTAGCGCTCTACCACTTAAGCCACAACGCCACTTCCGGCTTTTTTCTTTTTGCTTATGTGGTGCTGAGGAATCAAACCCAGGGCCTCAGGCATGCAAGGCAAGCGCTCTACCACTGAGCTATCTTCCCAGCCCAGTTCAAGAGACTTTTATCTCTAGTTAAGTAGCAAAAATGAGGTGAAGGTGTGGCTCAAGTGGTACAGTACCAGCCTTTATTGGAAGAAGCTAAGGGATAGAACCCAGGCCCTAAGTTCAAGTGCACACAAAAAGAAAGATAAAGAAAAGAAAGGAAGGAAGGAAGGAAGGAAGGAAGGAAGGAAGGAAGGAAGGAAGGAAGGAAAAGAAAAAGAAAATGAAGGAAGGAAGAAGGGAAGGATAATTAGTAATTTTAAAGCTCTTGACCAGCACTGGTGGCTCACACCTGTAATTCTAGCTACTCAGGAGGCTGAGATCTGAGGATCATGGTTCAAAGCCAGCCCAAGCAGGAAAGTCTATGAGACTCTTATCTCCAGTTAACCACTAGAAAACTGGAAGTAGAGCTGTGCCTCAAAGTGTTAAAGTGCTAGCCTTGAGCAAAAGAGCTCATGGATAGTATCGAGGCCCTGAAGTCAAACCCCACAACCAACAAAATAAATAAATAAATAAAATAAGGTCTTTTTTTCTTTCTTTCTTTCTTTTCTTTTCTTTTTTTTCGGGTCCGGTCGTGGGGCCTGAACTCTGGGCCGGGGTGCAGTCCCTCAGCTCTTCAGCTCAAGGCTAGCACTCTACCACTTGAGCCACATTGCCACTTCCGGCTTTTTTCTTATGTGGTGCTGAGGAATCAAACCCAGAGCCTCGAGCATGTAAGGCAAGTGCTCTACCACTGAGCCACCTTCCCAGCCCCTTCTTTTCTTTTTTTCTTTCTTTTTTTTTTTTTTTTTGTCAGTCATGGGGCTTGAACTCAAGGCCTGGGCACTGTCTCTCAGCTCTTCAGCTCAAGGCAAGTGCTCTACTGCTTGAGCCATAGCGCCACTTCTGGTTTTCTAGTGCTTTTTTATTGGAGATAAGAGTCTCTCACAGAGTTTCCTGCCAGGCTGGCTTTGAACCGTGATCTTCAGATCTCAGCCTTCTGAGTAGCTAGGTTTACAGATGTGAGCCACCGGTGCCCGGCCCAATATGGTATTTCTTACCCAGTGATAGTTTTGTTCCACAAGACTCACTTGGCAGTGTCTAGAGAAGATTTGATTGTCACAACAACCAAAGGAGAAGTGCAACTGGTAGACACCAGGGCTGTATCTATAAATAAAAGAAAGAAATCATCAGTAATGTCAAGGTTGAGAAACCCTTATTAATGAAGACTGTGTGTTATTAGTGAATGGAGAGAAACAATGAAATACAGTCCAGAAAGAGACCCACACAAATATAGTCATTTGATTCACACAAATAGAGCCATTTGATTCACACAATTAGAGCCATTTGATTTTTAACAAAGACACACATTTTAATTAAGAAAAAATAATCTTTCAGGTGCTGAGGCTAATGCCTATATTCCTGGCTAATCTGAAGGCTTTGGAGAAATTCAGTTCAAGGCCATCCTTGACAGAAAAGTCCATGAAACTCATGGACTAGCAAAAAGTCAGAAGACGAAATGTGGTTCATGGAGTAACATCTCTGAGTGCTTTATGAAGAAGAAACAAAAACCAAGTAATAACATGAGACTCTGAGTTCAAGGCCTACACACACACACACACACACACACACACACACACACACACACACACACACACACACACACACACACACACACACACACACACACACGGGGCTGGGAATGTGGCTCAGTGGTAGAGTGCTTGCCTCAAGTGCATGAAGCCCTGGGTTTGATTCCTCATTTACACAAAAAATAAGTGAAAGAAATAAAAGAGGAAAAAAATTAAAAAAAAAAAGGCACACCAAAGTCCTTAGTCAAACAGTGACCCAACCTAGGAGCACAATCTGGATAGGTAACATTATCCAGAAGATCTAGCCATCAAAAACTGATCCTGTTAGCCAAGTGCTGGTGGCTCATGCCTGTAGTCCAAGCTACTCAGGAAGCTGAGATCTGATCATTACTTTGAAGCCAGCCTGGGCAGAAAAATCTGTGGGATTCTTTTTTTTTTTTCCTTTGCCAGTCTGGGGGGGCTTGAACTCAGAGCCTGAGTACTGTCCCTGAGCTGCTTTTGCTTAAGGCTAGTAATCTACCACTTGAGCCACAGATTTACTTCTGGTGTTTTTTTGAATTTATGTGGTACTGAGAAATCCAACCCAGGGCTTCATGTATGCCAGGGAAGCACTCTGTCCCTGAGTTTCTTTTGTTCAAGGCAAGCCCTCTACCACTAAGCCACATTCCTAGCCCTATGACATTTTTTTTTTTTTTTTTTTGGTCAGTCGTGTGGTTTGATCTCTGGGCCTGGGCGCTGTCCCTGCGCTCTTCAGCTCAAGGCAGCACTCTACCCTTTAGCCACAGTGCCACTTCTGGTTTTCTGGTGGTTTATTAGAGATAAGAGTCTCATGGACTTTCCTATCTGGGCTGGCTTTGAACCGAGATCCTCAGATCTCAGCCTCCTAACTAGCTAGGATTACAGGCGTGAGCCACCAGTGCCTGGCTCTGACACTATCTCCAATAAACTACCCACTGCCCCCTCCTCCCCTCTCCTAAAAAACCAGAAATGGAATTGCGGCTCAAGTAGTAGAGCGCTAGTCTCGTGCAGAAGATGCTCAGGAAATGGGGCTGTGGCTCAAGCGGTAGAGCGCTCGCCTTGAGCTGAAGAGCGCAGGGACAGCGCCCAAGCCCAGAGTTCAAGCCCCACGACCGACAAAAAAAAGAAAAAAAGAAGATGCTCAGGGAGAGAGCCCAGAGCCCTAAATTCATGCCCCAGGACTGGTGCGCACAAGGATGTGCATGCACACACACATCTTGTTGGTAGGGCACAAACATATTCTCACAAAACTGTAGCCTCAGGCACCTGACCAGCCAATTCATAACCTCAGGGTCTTTCACGTCACAATCTGACGTCACAGTGGTCTGTCTCCCTAGAGTCCTGGGCAGAGCGGTCTGCACATCGCAGGCGCACTGTTTCCATGGTTACATGTCAGGCGCACCGAGCCAGTCTTGGCTACAGGATCGGCTCCCTCCCCCCACCCATTCCCCCTCCAGGAGGAGATTCAAGCCGAGCACCCTCCTCCTCCTTCTCCTCCTCCTCCCCCTGGAGGATGCGTGGGAAGCATCCTCGATGCACTGCGCCTGCGCACTCGGGATTGCGGCTTCCCCGGCTGTTGTCTGCGCAGCAGCGCGGTCCAGGAGGACCGGAGCACAGAACCTATCACCCGCAGTGGGGTATGGGAAACAAAACAAACAGCATCAACAACCAGTAGTTCAAGACATTTCCAGCCTTGTACTACATTTCCCAGAGGGCACAGGGCCCGAGCGAATCTCAGCAGCACTGGTCACGGGTTCGTCCTGAAACGTCTGCGTCTTCCTCGGCTCGGCCCCCTCCTGTGCTGTCGCCGGCTGCTTGGTGTCTGGTTACGGAGACAGGTGCATCCCCCCCTCCCCCGAGGCACCCCCCATCCCTGCTGACCCGGGAGCTTGGCGGATCTCAGAGCCCCTTCCCTACCCCCCCCACCTCAAAGACTCGAGGACGGTGAGCCCCCCCCCCCCCCAATCCGTGCGGGCTGCAGATTTTCCGCGGGGAAAGAATGCGGGCTCGGAGCTGGGGGGTGTGGTGGGGAGAGCTTAGGGCTTGGCCTGGCTTTGTGGAGGTGGGTGGGGGAGTGGGGGGTGTTTTGTTCATTCTCCTGGGGTGCAAGATCGACCTTGTGTATGTAGCAGTAATTTGATGCGGGGGCCCAACTTGGTGACGCAGCTATTTGGGATCAGCTTGCAAAAGGGGGAAAAAAATCAAAGGGTAAAATTGGAGGTGGGACACCCACCCTAGAGTGAAGGACCCCGAGTGAAATGCTGAGGATTGAGTATGGGGTGGGGGGGAGCTGTTGAAGTTGCGCAGGATGAATAAAACGGTTCTCTTAAAAAAAAAAAAAAAAAAGGCAAAGGAGCCAGGCGCTGGTGGCTTCTGCTTGTAATATTAGCTATTTCAGGAAGCTGAGATCTGAGGATTGAGGCTGGAAAGTCAGTGAGTATTTTACCTCCAATACCAACAAAAAGCTGCAAGTGGATGTGTTGCTGAAGAGATAGAGTGCCAGCCTTGAGCAACAAAAGCTGTAGGACCATGCTCAGCCCCCGAGTTCAAGCCCCAGTACTGGGAGGAAAGAAAGAAAGAAAGGAAAGACAAAAGGCTGCTTTCATTGTGGCTTGTTGATTGTGAGACCTACCTATAACCAGATTGAAACTCAAACGTTCTAGCCTTCCCCCTCCTTCCTCAACGCAGCCTGTAAAGGGAGGGGGGCAGGAATAGAGGTATGAGGCTGGGGTCTCACCAGTCTTCAAACAATGTACCTCATGCGCCCATTTAACCCTGTCCTGCCATTTTCCAAAGAAGTCTGGTAAGAGGGCTGAGAATGTGGCTTAGTGGTAGAGTGCTTGTCTAGCATGCACAAAGCCCTGGGTTTGATTCCTTAGTACCATGGAAACAGAAAAAGCCACAAGTGGTGCTGTGGCTTGAGGGATGAGTGCTAGCCTTGAGCCAAAGCAACCCAGGAACAGTGCCCAGGCCCTGAGTTCAAGCCCCAGGACTGGCAAAACAACCCTTCCCCCCCCCCACAAAAAAACCCTTTCTCCCTCCCCTCCTCAAAAAAGTCTGGTGAGAGAGAGAGAATGGTGGCTGCATATCTAAATTTTATTGCCTCTCTTTCAGTCCATAAATCGTATCTAATTTTTCAGGACATGGAAACAATCTAGTATCCTTTTGAAATAAAACATATCCACTAGCCTATAACCTCAGTCTTCCTTCCAGACTGCATGTCAGAGGTCTTGAAAACAGACCCCATTCCCATTACAACCATAATGTTGTTTAAGTTCTTCTTCTTCTTCTTTTTTTTTTTTTTTGCCAGTCCTGAGGCTTGAACTCAGGGCCTGGACACTGTCCCTGAGTGTCTTTCACTAAAGGCTAGAACTCTATCACTTGAGCCACAGCACCACTTCTGGCTTTTTCTGTTTATGTGGTACTGAGGAATGGAACCCAGGGCTTCATGCATGCTAAACAAGCACTCTACCACTAAGCTACATTCTCAGCTCCTTAAGTTCATTATTAAGTGTGTGTGTGTGTGTGTGTGTGTGTGTGTGTGTGTGTGTGTGTGTGTGTGAGTGTATATGTAATAGGGCTTGAAATCAGGACCTGGGTGCTGTCCCTTAGCTTTTTTGCTCAAGGCTGGTGCTCTACCACTTGAGCCACAGCTCTGCTTCCAGCTTGTTTTTGCTGGTTAATTGGGGGGAAGAGTCAAAAGGACTTTTTTGCCCAAGTTAACTTCAAATCATGACCCTCAGATCTCAGCCTCCTGAAGTAGTAGTTGGGACTACAGGCATGAGCCACAGGTGCTTAAAGCTGTTAATTCAGCTGCCTGCTTTGGTTATGTGATCTCTTTTGTTTGGTGAGCATTGAAGTTGAGAATCCACTCAGGGAACTTTTCCACCTCCTAGTCTCAGTCTGAATCAGCATCTTCATGATGGGGATTGGCTTCAGCTCTCCTGCTGAAGGCACTAATCTTGTATCTAATATAAACTTTTGTTCTGTATTCACCTTTCACAGGAGCGCAGGTTCCCTGGTAGAGTGACATCATTTGGGGAGATGGGGAAGGCAGTGTGGGGGCAGACGTTTTGTAAACCAAAAATGTAAAATGAAAGATTACTTGTATCTTTTTTTTTATCTTTGAAGTATGCTTGGTTTCATTTTTTCTTTTCTTTTTTTTTTAAACCCTGTCAACTTAGAACTTTGCTTCTCCAGAGCCTAGAGAAACACTGAAGAGTTCTTCAGATTCCCAAACCATGGCCCATGTAAGTTGCTGTTTATCTTATCTTCTTGAAGAGATCACTTGAGACTGTGTGCCAGTGTCTCATGCCTGTAATCCTAGCAACTCAGGAGGAAGAGATCAGTAGAATCAGTATAAGGCCAGAAGGGGGGGAAAAGTTCTTAAGACTCATATCTCAACCAATAGCATGCGCCTGTCATCCTCGCTTCCTAAGGAACTGAGATCTAGAGGGTCATGTTCACAGTATAGCTCAGGCAAAAACTGATCATGATACCCAATCTTGACTGAAAAGGTTGAGAATGGAGGGTATGGCTGTTTTACCAGCCACAATAGGATTAGTAAATAGAAGAATTGCAATTTATACCAGGGCAGGACTAAAAATAAGACACTATCTCTAGAGCAAAATGTTCTAGAGTTATGACTTAAGCAGTAGAGCTGATGCTGGGAACCAGTGGCTCATTCCTGTAATCCTAGCTACTCAAGAGATTGAGATCTGAGGATCATGGTTCAAAGCCAACCTAGGCAGAAAAGTCCATGAGACTCTTATCTCCAATTAACCGCCAGAAAACAAGAAGTAGTACTGTGGCTCAAGTGGTAGAGCATTCACTTTGAGCTGAAGAGCTCAGGGACAGTGCCCAGGCTCAGACTTCAAGCCCACGACAGAACTAAAAAAAAAAAAGGAGAAGAAGAAGAAGTAGAGCTGAAGCCGGGAGCTGGCGGTTCACACTTGTAATCCTAGCTCCTCAGGAGGCTGAGATCTGAGGATTGTTGTTCAAAGCTAGCCCATGTAGGAAAGTCCGTGAGACTCTTAATCTCCAATTAACCACCAGAAAACTAGAAGTGGAGCTGTAGCTCAAAGTGGTAGAGTGCCAGCCTTGAGCAACAGAGCTCAGGGATAGCACCCAGGCCCTGAGTTCAAGCTCTACAGCCGTAAAAAAAAAAAAAGGTAGAGCAAAGCAACCCTGATTCTGATTTCAAATCCCAAAACCACCACAATAAAAAGATCACTTGAAAGAATTTTCTGAATATTTATGCTTTATACTTAAGTTTCCTATCTACTAGAGTTTTTCTTCATCTCCAATCCCCTAGTGCCTCCTGTATGTCTCTGTCTTCCCTAACAAGATCTGGCTATACATTGACCAAATCATCTAGCATTAGCTATGCAGCCTCTACCTGGGAGCACAAAATCCCTAAGGGAATGAATATAACCATTGTCAGATCTGAGCTATAAAGAAACAAAGCCATGGACTCATTTGATGACAAGTTTTCTACAGATCTATGTCTATAATAACCACAGTATATGGGCTGAGAAGGTGGCTCAGTGGTAGAGCGCTAGCCATGAGCTGAAGAGCTGAGGGACAGTGCCCAGGCCCAGAGTTCAGGCCCCATGATTGGACCCCCCCCCCAAAAAAAAAAATAACCACAGTATAGGTTCAGGGTGATTAACCTCAGTCTCAGTCTTAGTGGTCAGGTTCTGTTTATGAGAAATTGATGGCGGGATATTTCCTAGGAATCTGTGAGAGGTGAAAACACATACTGTATATCATTTGATCACTATCTTGATTTATGGTTTCAGTCACTGGTAACTTTCAAGGATGTGTCCATACACTTCTCTCGGAAGGAGTGGGAGTTCCTGGATTCTACTCAGAAGGACTTGTATAAGGATGTGATGTTGGAGAACTATAAGAACCTGGTGTCAGTGGGTAAGGTCATTTACACCAAACACTTTGGACTGTTCTCTAAAATAATAGCTTTCTCTTCCATGAATTGGGATTCTATTTTGTGTGTGTGTGTGTGTGTGTGCGTGCGCGCGCGCGCACGTGCGTGCATGCATGAGTATATGTGTATATGTGCGCTTGCGTTTGCGTGTGATCCGGCCAGTCCCTATGGCTTGAACATAGGGCCTGGGTTCTGTCCCTGAGCTTTTTTGTTCAAGGTTAGTGCTCTGCCACATGAGCCACAGCTCCACTCCTGGCTTTTTTGTGGTTAATTGGAGATAAGAGTATCCTGGACTTTGCTGCTAAGACTTTGAACCTTGATCCTCAGATCTCAGCCTCCTGAGTAATTAGGATTACAGGCATGAGCCACCAGCACCCAGCTTTGAATGTGCTTTCTGTTTGTTTGTTTGCCAGGCCTGGGGCTTGAACTCAGGGCCTGGGCACTGTCCCTGAGCTTCTTTTGCTCAAGGCTAGCACTCTACTACTGAGCCACAGTGCCACTTCCAGCTTTTTCTGTTTATATAGTACTGAGGAATGGAACCCAGGGCTTCATGCATACTAGGCAAGCACTTTACCACTAAGCCACATTCCCAGTCCTGCCATGAATATTCTTTAATAGTTTTCTCTGGTGTATTATATGGTCCCATGTGTTTAATATAAATCAAGTCTCAAAATGATTTTGAAAATGTAATAGTATTTTACTTCTACATCTTGTTCTCTTTCTTTCTTGTATGCAGGATATTCTCCCTCAAAGCCAGATGTGATAACCTTACTGGAACAAGGCAAAGAGCCCTTCCCAGTGATGAAGGATGTGTTAAGAAGAAGGTCTACAAGTAAGTGAGGGCTCACTACTTGGCTGGTGAGCCAGCAAAGGGCATTCAGTAAGAGCAGAGATGCAGGCTTTGCATCAGATTGTTATAGTTGAAGACAGGGAAAAATTGACTTTTTTGGGGGTGCAAGTCCTGGGGCATGAGCTCAAGGACTGGGTGCTATCCCTGAACTTTTTTGTTTAAGGCTAGCATGCTGTCATTTGAGCCATAGCTCCTTTTGCTTTTTGATGATTAAATGGAGATAAGAATTTCATGGGAGCCGGGCGCTGGTGGCTCACGCCTGTAATCCTAGCTACTCAGGAGGCTGAGATCTGAGGATCATGGTTCAAAGCCAGCCCGGGCAGGAGAGACCGTGAGACTCCTATCTCCAATAAACCACCAGAAAACTGGAAGTGGCGCTGTAGCTCAAGTGGTAGAGCGCTCGCCTTGAGCTGAAGAGCTGAAGGACAGCGCCCAGGCCCAGAGTTCAAGCCCCACGACCAACAAAAAAAAAAAAAAAAAAAAGAATTTCATGGGGCTGGGAAGGTGGCTCAGTGGTAGAGCGCTTGCCTTGCATGCCTGAGGCCCTGGGTTCAATTCCTCAGCACCACATAAGCAAAAAGAAAAAAGCCGGAAGTGGCACTGTGGCTCAAGTGGTAGAGCGCTAGCCTTGAGCTGAAGAGCTGAGGGACAGTGCCCAGGCCCAGAGTTCAGGCCCTACAACAGGACCCAAAAAAAAAAAAAAAAAAAGAAGAATCTCATGGACTTAGCCGGGCACTGGTGGCTCACACCTGTAATCCTAGCTACTCAGGAGGCTGAGCTCTGAGGATCCCAGTTCAAAGCCAGCCCAGGCAGGAAAGTCCATGAGATTCTTATCTCCAATAAACCACTAGAAAAGTGGAAGTGGCACTGTGGCTTAAGTGGTAGAGCGCTTGCCTTGAGCTGAAGAGCTGAGGGATAACGCCCGGGCCCAGAGTTCAAGCCCCACGACCGACCAAAAAAAAAAGAAGAATCTCATGGACTTAATTGCCTGGGCTGGCTTTGAACTACCATCCATAGATCTCAGCCTCATGAATATCTAGGATTATAGACATGAGCTACCAGCACCCAGCTGAAACAGATTTCTTAGCATGAACTCACAAAAGAACTTCATCCTAGCTTCCAACTATTGTATGCATGTGCATGCACACACAGGTGTGTGTGTGTGTGTGTGTGTGAGTGAGTGTGTGCACATGCACACACACGTGTGGGCATGCGTACTCATGTTCACCAGTTCTAGGGTTTAAACTCAGAGACTGGGTACTGTCCCTTAGTTTTTCACTCAAGGCTTGTAGTCTACCACTTGAACCATAGCTTCATTTCCAGCTTTTTTTTTTTTTTTTTCAGTCATGTGGTTTGAACTTTGGGCCTGAGCGCTGTCCCTCAGCTCTTCAGCTCAAGGCAAGCACTCTACCACTTGAGTTACAGCGCCACTTCTGGTTTTCTAGTGGTTTATTGGAGATAGGAGTCTCATGGTCTTTCCTGCCCGGGCTGGCTTTGAACCATGATCCTCAGATCTCAGCCTCCTGAATAGCTAGGATTACAGGTGTGAGCCACAGGGCCCGGCCATTTCCAGCTTTTTGATGGTTACTTAGAGATAAGACTCTCACAGACTTTTCTGCTTTGGCTGGCTTTAAGCATGATCCACAGATCTCAGCCTCTTTAGTAGCTAGGATTACAGATGCGAACTACCAGCACCTAGCTCACTACTGCCACTTAAATACAAGTTACTATCACTTTTAGTTTATACGGCCAGTTCAGCCTATTAGCTGATAATTCTTCCAGTCTTCCCTCCACATTTAAAAGATCATCTACACAACATCTAGACTGATTGTTGAAAAACAGATTATTGCTTCCAAACACTCTACAAAAAGGAGAATTCAGATTTCTCACCAGGAAAAGCAAACTATTTTAAGACACAGATTGTCTCTAAGCTCTTCTTTCATATTCTTCCCCCAATGAACTGCCCTTATGTAGAGCCCCTGGGATCCAGTCACCTCTCACTAGCACCACCATTTGGGAACCCAGGCTTCAATTCATGAGCCTGTGGGGAACATTTCATATCAAAATCATAACATAACATAACATGGCACCTGTAGGTGCCAATGGCTTATGCCAATAATCCTAGTTACTCCAGGGGCTGAGATCTGAGACTCACAAAGCCAGCCTGGGGAGGAAAGTCCATGAGACTCTCTTCAGTTAACTACCAAAAGAAAAAAAAAGCTGAAAGTGGAGCAGTAGAATTATTTCAAATTTAGGATAACCAATTTTTCCTATAGTTTTGATTCATTTTGGAGTGGTCTCAGAATAGCAGTGTTTTTAAACAACTTCTCCAAGATACCTCTGACCCATACCAAAACTTCACAATCACTGATGGAAATTATAATACATCACCACAGTCTCATGTTATCTTCTATTCTCTAAGTTCATATTGACTGATTTTAAATTATTGAACTATATTGTAAAATGTTTTTTTTTTATTTTTTGTCGGTCGTGGGGCCTGAACTCTGGGCTTGGGTGCTGTCCCTCAGCTCTTCAGCTCAAGTCTAGCGCTCTACCACTTGAGCCACAGCACCACGTCCAGCCTTTTCTGTTTATGTGGTGCTGAGGAATCAAACCCAGGGCCTCGTGCATGTCAGGCAAGCACTCTACCACTGAGCCACCTTCCCAGCCCTGTAAAAATGTTTTTAAAGCCATTCACTTCTACTAATAATCATTTTCATTTTGCTTCCTCTTTTGAAGAGGAAAGCTTTATGTTTTGCTGGTTATAGGAGAATAATTTTTGCTTGCTTTTTTGTTACCAGGTCTTTCCTCCAGGCATAAGACCAAGAAATTATCTCCACAAAAATCTACTGGTGAAATAAGTGTATCTAAATCGAAGACAACAGAAACAAGTAAAACACTCAATATCAAACGATCAACTTCGAAAAATGCGTGCCAGAACAAAAGTGACTCTAATAGCCCTCAGGAAGCTGAAGGAAGGAGCACTACTCAAAAGAAAATCAGCCATGAAAAAGGACCAACAAATAGAAAGCAACCGTCTACTCTGGATCAGAGAGTTGATAATAACGAGGACTCTAATGAAGACAGGGAACGTGAGGAAACCATTGGTTGTGAGTCTAGCTCAATTCAACGTGAACCAGTTCATTTTGATGAACATTATGACTGTGAGGAATGTGGGAAAACTTTTAAGAGTGTCTACCAACTTACCCTACATGAGAAAATTCACAGTGGTGAAAAAATCCACGAATGTAAGGAATGTGGGAAGCTGTTCAGGCGTAAGTATCGACTGACGCTCCATCACAAAATTCACACAGGTGAAAAACCCTATGAATGTAAAGAATGTGGGAAGTTCTTCAGGCGTAAATATCATCTGACTCTACACAAGAAAGTTCACACTGGCGAGAAACCCCATGGATGTAAGGAATGTGGGAAGTTCTTTGGTCGTAAGTATCAACTTACTCTCCATCAGAAAATTCACACTGGTGAGAAACCTCACGAGTGTAAAGAATGTGGGAAGTTCTTCAGGTGTAAGTACCAACTTACTCTACACCATAAAACTCACACTGGTGACAAACCCTATGGATGTAAAGAATGTGGAAAGTTCTATAGTCTTAAGTACCAACTTAATCTACATCAGAGAATTCATACTGGTGAAAAGACTCATAAGTGTAAGGAATGTGGGATGTTGTTCAGTTACAAGTATCAACTTAATCTACATCAGAAAATTCATACTGGTGAAACACCCCACGAATGTAAGGAATGTGGGAAGACTTTTGGTCTTTACTCCCAACTTAATCGTCATCAGAAAACACATACCCATAACAAACGTTATAAATGCAAGGAGTGTGGCAAGAGGTTCTTAAGTAATTTTGAACTTACTCAGCATGGGAGAGTTCATGCTGATGATAAACCTTATGAGTGTAAGGAATGTGGAAAGACATTTCCATTTGGTTTCTACCTTACACAACATCAGAAAACACATGTAAAGGAGAAAACCTACCCATGTAAAGAATGTGGGAAAACCTTCAGTGCACAAGAACAACTTACCCAGCATGAGAAAAGCCACACTGGTCCAAAACCCTATGAATGTAAGGACTGTGGGAAGGCCTTTAGACTTAGTGCTAACCTCACTGAGCACCGAAAAATTCATGAAGGTAAGAAACCTTATAAATGTAAGGAATGCGGGAAAACCTTCAATGAACGAGGACTCCTTATTCAGCATAAAACAATTCATACAGGGAAAAAACTCTATGAATGTGAAGTGTGTGGAAAGAAGTTTAATTACAGTGGGGACCGGAGAGTCCATCGCAAAATCCATACTGGTGAGAAACCGTATGAGTGTGAGGAGTGTGGAAAGGCCTTTATGCTTCGGTCGGCCCTTACTGAACATGAGAGAATTCATTCTGGTCTGAAGCCTTATGAATGTAAGGAGTGTGGGAAAACCTTTCGAGGGCGCTCTCAAATTAGTCTTCATAAGAAATTTCATAGTGATGTGAAGCCCTACAAATGTGGGAAATGTGGGAAGTCCTTCAGATTTGGTTTCTATCTTAGTGAGCATCTGAGAGTCCATACGGGTGAAAAGCCCTATGAATGTAAAGAATGTGGAAGGGCCTTTATTCGTAGAGGAAATCTGAAAGAACACCTGAAAACTCATTCTGGGGTCAAACCCTATGAGTGTAAGGAATGTGGGAAGGCCTTTAGTTGGCGTGGACAGTTTACTCAACATCAGAAGATTCATACAGGTATAAAACCCTACAAATGTGAAGAATGTGGGAAGGCCTTTAATCGTACTGGAGACCTCAGAGTCCATCAGAGAATTCATACTGGTGAGAAACCCTATGGATGTAAAGAATGTGGGAAGTCCTTTAGACTTAATTCACACCTAACTGAACATCAGAGAATCCACACTGGGGAGAAGCCCTACGAATGTAAGGAATGTGGGAAGACCTTTAGACAACGTGCACATCTTTATCAACATAAGAAAACACACAAGGTAACTAAACAGAAGAAAGCCTTTCCAGGCACACCATAGTTACAGATGATCAAAAGATTCATGCCAGAAAATTTTTGTTAATATTTTGTTCATTCATTCATTCGCTTCTTTCTTTTTCGTTTCTTTCTTTCTTTCTTTTTTTCCTTCCTTCTTTCTTTTCTTTCTTTCTTTCTTTCTTTCTTTCTTTCTTTCTTTCTTTCTTTCTTTCTTTCTTAGTTTCTTTCTTTCTTTCTCTCTCTCTCTCCCTTCCTTTCTCTCCTTTCTTTCTTTCTCTCTCTCTCCCTCCCTCCCTTCCTTCCTTCTTTCTCTTTCTTTCTTTCTTCTCTCTCTCTTTCCTTTCTTCCCTCCCTCCCTTCTTTATTTCTTCCTTTTTTTTCTCTTTCCTTTTCTGGCTTTTCCCTCCCTCCCTTCCCTCTCTCTCCCTTCCTTCCTTCCTTCCTTCCTTCCTTTCCTTTCCTTTCCCTTCCTTCCTTCCTTCCTTCCTTCCTTCCTTCCTTCCTTCCTTCCTTCCTTCCTTTCCTTCCTTTCCTTCCTTCCTTTCCTTCCTTCCTTCCTTCCTTCCTTAATTCCTTCCTTCCTTCCTTCCCTTCCTTCCTTCCTTCCTTCCTTCCTTCCTTCCTTCCTTCCTTCCTTCCTTCCTTCCTTCCTTCCTTAATTCCTTCCTTAATTCCTTCCTTTCCTTCCTCCCTCCCTTCCTTGGCCAGAATTCTACTTCTGGCTTTTTTGGGGGTAGTTTATTGGAGATAAGAGTGTCACAGACTTTTCTGCCTGGGCTGGCTTTGAACCACAATCCTTCCTTCCTTCCCACTTAAACCAGAGCTCCACTTCTGGCTTTTTTTGGGGGGAGGGGGAATAGTTTATTAGAGGTAAGAGTTTCACAAATTTTTCTGTCTGGGCTGGCTTTGAACCATGATCCTCAGATCTCAGCTTCCTGAGTAGCTAGGATTACAAGCGTGAGCCACTGGTGCCCAGCTGTGTTGATCTTTCTTTACACCTATTAGTAAATATATGAGAGCCTTCAGAAAAGTCTCAGTCCTTGTTCAATTTAAGGGAATTCATACCAGAAAATAAACATGTTAATATAACAATTGTGGGCACTGCTTTTAGCAATGAAGTCTGTGATCATCATTGCCTCCTCTCACACTTTAGTAGCAGGCAAAACAATTTCAGGCAAAACACTGATTCCTTGATGGGTGCTGGTGACTTAGGCCCATAACCCTAACTACTCAGGAGGCTGAGATCTGAGAAAGTTTGAAGCCAGCCTGGGGAAGAAAACTCTACAAGACTTCCATCTCGGGTTAATCAACCAAATCCATGCTGGAGTTGTAGCTCAGGTGGTAGAGCAACAGTAGAGCAAGCAACTACACTGTTTGAGACCCTGAGTTCATGCACTGCTACTGGCACCCGCCCCCCCCCCCCCCCAAAGAAAAGAATATATATAATCAAGTTAGATCACAAGAACATTATGCTGAATTCTGAAGTTCGACTTTAAAAATGTCACACACTTTGTGATTCCACTTATGTAACATTCTTTTCTTTTTTGTGCTGTTACTAGGGCTTGAATTCAGTGCCTCACGCTGTCACTTAGCTTTTTTGCTCAAAGCTGTGATGCTCTACCTGTTAGGCTACACCTCTACTTCTAGTTTTTTGCTGGTTAATTGTTGATAAGAGTCTCTTGAGTCTTTCTGTCTGGGCTACCTCTGAACCACAGTCCTCAGATCTCAATTTCCTAAGTTGCTAGGACTGCAGGTATGTGCTACCAGCACCTAGCTTCAATTTGTATTTTGATTGCAGTGGTGGTTGCATGAATCTGCATATGCAGTAAAGTGACACATGATGATACACATGCTGTACCAATGTCAGATTCTGTGTTTTGATATTGTACTGTAATCTTGTGCATGTAGCTATGGGGGAAGACTATGAGGTATACAGAAGATTTCTGTGTACATCTTTCAATTTCCTGTGTATCTACGATCACTTTAGAACTTTTAAAAGTCAATTTTTTAAGCAGCTTCAATATGAAGGGGCTCAGAAACAGAATGCCCAAAACTGAATTATGAATTGGGAAGTCTGAAACTTTAGTTGTGGAGTATCTGGAAGGAACCAGATGTGATAAAGAAGCATGAGCCACCAGCACCTCACTCCACCTCTGTGTCTAACCTAATTTCTTGTGACTAGTAGATAAAACTCTTAGAACACATCCCTAAGCTGAGTAGACTAGCTTCCATTATCCCTAAAGCTAAGAATGATGAAAAAAAAAAATCAAACCTACAGAAGATTTGCCTGCTTTGCTGTAGCCCACTGCCTGATCCTCCAACCGATGTGTTTGTTTAATGTACCAATGTATGACTTTCTGAGCTGTGACTCTTAGCAGCCCATGTAACCTCTTCTGTGGTTGAGCATGGTATCCAGGTGAACCTGAATCTGTATTCTCCAGTGTTCCCAGGCCTTGCTCACTGTTTGGCTCAAAATAAACTCTCTTATTTCCTTCAGAGAAAAGGTGTATTTTGTATCAATAAACTGTTAGTTCTGTTTATGTAAACTTTCAATAGCTGGCACTGGTGGCTCACACCTGTAATCCTAGCTACTCAGGAGGCTGAGATCTGAGGATCGTAGTTCAAAGCCAGCCCGGGCAGGAAAGACCGTGAGACTCCTATCTCCAATAAACCACTAGAAAACGGGAAGTGGCGCTGTAGCTCAAGTGGTAGAGCACTCGCCTTGAGCTGAAGAGCTGAGGGACAGTGCCCAGGCCCAGAGTTCAAGCCCCATGACCGACAAAAAAAAAAAAAAAAACTTTGAATATATTCCCTGGAAGGTCTGATCTAACACAAAACAATATACATGAGGTAATATAAACAAAACCTGATAAATTGGCTTTAAGGAAATTAAACCAAAATTATTGCAAAAATGCTAGATGACACTTTCAGAAATAAAATGGTACATGATACCAACATAGAATATAAAAGCCAGGCCCCAGTGCCTCATGCCTATAATCCTAGCTACTCAGGAGGCTGAGATCTGAGGATCATGGTTCAAAGCCAGCCTGGGCAGGAAAGTCCGTGAGACTTATCTCCAATAAAGCAATAGAAAACGGGAAGTGACGCTGTATGTAGCTCCAATGGTAGAGTGCTCGCCTTGAGCTGAAGAGCTGAGGGACAGCGCCCAAGCCCAGAGTTCAAGCCCCACAACAGACAAATAAAATAATAATAAAAAAATATATATATATACATACCAGGCATCAGTAGCTTGTGCTGTAATCTTAGATATTCAGGAGACAGATGTGAGAATTGAGGTTTGAAGCCATCTTGAGCAGGAAAATCTGAGGTTCTTCTCACAAAAAGCCAGATGGAGCTGTGGTTCAAGTGGTAGAGCACCAGCCTTGAGTGAAAAAGCTAAGGGGCAGCTCCCAGGCCCTGAGTTGGAGCCCCAGGACCAGCACAAAAATAGCTTTCTGCATACGTTCATTACTGGCAGTAACAACAATTCATAGCATTGTTCACTTCCCTCCCAGCAGAGACTTACAAACTACACAGCACCAGCTTCATTCAGCACATACATTCATGTTCTTTTTTTTTTTTGGTTGGTCGTGAGGCTTGAACTCTGGGCTTGGGCGCTGTCCCTCAGCTCTTCAGCTCAAGGCCAGCGCTCTACCACTTCAGCCACAATGCCACTTTTGGTTTTCTATTGGTTTATTGGAGATGAGTCTCACGGGCTTTCCTGCCCGGGCTGGCTTTGAACCTTGATCCTCAGATCTCAGCCTCCTGAGTAGCTAGGATTACAGGTGTGAGCCACCGGCGCCCAGCTTACATTCATGTTCTGTTCATCAGAACAACCTTTCCATTCTGTCCCTCAGCAGCAGCCCCTCATAGCACCCTCTGTCCAATGGTAGCACATCATCACACTCTGTTGTGCAATGGGGACACACTGTCTAAAACTGGCATTTGGCCAAGGATGAACACACAAGTTTGCGCATGCACACCTAGTCTCAAGAATACATGAGGTATCACATGTGCATACAACTCAAAGTCTCACAGATACTCAGAACCAGCTGAATCACAGTCCTTGAGAAATAAAGCCCCAAGCCCTCTAAGATTACGGTGAGACAGCCACGTGCCAGTCTCATGCTTGTAACCCTACTCAGGAGGCTGAGATCTGAGGATCACAGTTTGAAGCCAACCTGCACAGAAAAGTCCCCATGAGACTCTCAACCTCCACTTAACCACTCAAGAACCAGAAGTGGTGCTGTGGCTCAAGTGGTAGCACTCTAGCCTTGAATGCAAAGAGGCTCAGGGACAGTGCCCAGGCCTTGAACTCAAGCCCACAACCACCGCCACCACCATCAACAAAAGATTACAGAGAGAAGCCTGACTTCATTTATCCTTCTCCATGGCCTTTAAAGAATAGAACTAAGCCAGGGCTTAGTGGCTCATGCCTGTAATCCTAGCTACTCAGGAGGTTAAGATCTGAGGGATTGAGGTTCAAAGCCAGCCTGGGCAGGAAAATCTGTGTCTTACCACCAATAAACCACTCAGAAAAAGCTGAAGTGGTACTGTGGCTCAAAGTGGTAGAGTGATAGCATTGAGCACAGAGAGGCTCACTGACAGAGCCCAGGCCACACACCCCATCTCAAAAAAAAAAAAAAAAAGGAACTAAGCCAATCACTGGTGGCTCACGCTTGCCATCCTAGCTTCTCAAGAAGGCTGAGATCTGAGGGTCATTATTTCAAAGCCAGCCAGGGCAAGAAAATGTGTGAGACTCATATCCAATGAACCACCAGAAAATCAGAAATGGTGCTGTAGCTCCAAATGGTAGAGCACTAGCATTGAGCAAAAAAGCTCAGGAACAACACCCAAGCCCTCAGTTCAAGTTCCACAACTAGCTGGCTCTCATCATTCTTCACTCATCAGTTACAAGGATCGAAAAGGTTCCAAAATTTTTTTTTAATGCCTTCTGAAGGTAAACTTATTTTTGTGGGGGTGGGGGTGGGGAGAGGGAGACAGGAAAATGCCAACCCTTTTTTATTTCCTGCTTAAAAAAAAAAAAAAGTATCGGGGGCTGGGAAGGTGGCTCAGTGGTAGAGCGCTTGCTTTGCATGCTCAAGGCCCTGGGTTCGATTCCTCAGCACCACATAAGAAAAAAAAAAAAGCTGGAAGTGGCGCTGTGGCTCAAGTGGTAGAGCACTAGCCTTGAGCTGCAGAGCTGAGGGACAGTGCCCAGGCCCAGAGTTCAGGCCCCATGACTGGACCCAAAAAAAAAAAAAAAAAAAGTATCTTGCTCATAAACACATTCTAACCATACCACTGAACATGTACTCTTCGGTCATTATCCCTTAACAATCAAACATACAACTATGTGCATAGTACTCATATTACATTAGGTAATCTCTATAAAAGTATACAGTAGGATGTGCAGGTGCATAGGTTTGATGGAAATTAACTATGCTATTTTGCACAGTAATTTTCCAATTTTGAGGATGTGCAGCCCACATTGGGATTCCCACACCCATGTCCTACTGCAGAGGCGGCCATCTTGAATACTCTCCTTACCTTCTCCTGTGAAGCAGCCATCCTTGCTGGCATAGGAAAACACATGGGCTCACCTCGAGTGGTCCAGCCTGTAGAGGACCCCCAAAAACAAGTCTACCTGTACACATACTCATGGCCCAGGAAGCAGTGGGCAGCCCCAGAACTCACTGACCACTGACCTGGGAAGCTTCTGAGCAGCTTCTCATTGGAGGCCTGCAGAGAAGCAGCCCAGTGGCCCCACTTACCCTCCTGTGGTTTCAAGCAGCTAGGATTATAGGTGTGAGCCAGTGATACCCAGCTCTTACCATCCTTTTTTAAATTAATAGTATCTCAAATGTAAGTGACACTTAAACCATTTTATATTTGGGCTGGCCATATTTCATATTTCAATTGTGGTGACACCACATTAGTACACGTCTAGTCCATTAGTTACCACTTAGATATGGTAATTTTTTTTTTTTTTTTTGCCATTCTTGGGGCTTGAACTCTGAGCTTGGGCACTGTCCCTGAGCTTCTTTTGCTCAAGGTGAGTACTCTACCACTTGAGCCACAGCACCACTTCGTTTATAGTCTTCCTCAGATTTCAGCCTCCTGAGTAGCTAGGATTACAAGCATGAGCCCCCAGCGCCCAGCTTTCCCCCCCACCCCCAATGGTAAGAAACCTTGGCAGAGTTTTTTTGTTTTTTGTTTTGTTTTTGGGTCCGGTCATGGGGCCTGAACTCTGGGCCTGGACGCTTTCTCTCAGCTCTTCAGCTCAAGGCTAGCACTCTACCACTTGAGTCACAGCGCCACTTCCGGCTTTTTGCTTTATGTGGTGCTGAGGAATCGAACCCAGGGCCTCAGGCATGCAAGGCAAGTGCTCTACCACTGAGCCACCTTCCCAGCCCCAGTTTTTTTTGTTTGTTTGTTTGTTTTTTTTTGTCAGTCATGGGCCTTGAACTCTGGGCTTGGGTGCTGTCCCTGTGCTCTTCAGCTCAAGGTGAGTGCTCCACCGCTTGAGCGGTTTTCTGATGGTCCATTGGAGATAAGAGTCTCATGGATGGGCTGGGAAGGTGGCTCAGTGGTAGAGCGCTTGCCTTGCATGCCTGAAGCCCTGGGTTCGATTCCCCAGCACCACATAAGCAAAAAGAAAAAAGCCAGAAGTGGCACTATGGCTCAAGTGGTAGAGCACTAGCCTTGAGCTGAAGAGCTGAGGGACAGCGCCCAGGCCCTGAGTTCAGGCCCCACGACCGGACCCAAAAAAAAAAAAAAAAGTCTCATGGACTTTTCTGCCCAGGCTGGCTTTGAACTGTGATCCTCAGCTCTCAGTCTCCTGAGTAGCTAGGATTACAGGTGTGAGACACTGGCACCTGGCTTGGCAGTTTTATTGAGTAAGGAAGCAGGCAAGCACACACACAGACAAGCAGAAAGGAGAAGGCACTCTGAGTGTGGGTGCTCTCAAAGGGAGAGACATCAATTGTTTTCTTGTACTCATTCTTTTTTTTTTTTTTTTTTTTTTTTTGTTGGTCGTGGGGCTTGAACTCTGGGCCTGGGCGCTGTCCCTCAGCTCTTCAGCTCAAGGCGAGCGCTCTACCACTTGAGCTACAGTGCCACTTCCGGTTTTCTGGTAGTTTATTGGAGATAGGAGTCTCACGGTCTCTCCCGCCCGGGCTGGCTTTGAACCGGGATCCTCAGATCTCAGCCTCCTGAGTAGCTAGGATTACAGGCGTGAGCCACCAGTGCCCGGCTCTTGTACTCATTCTTTAAGCATATGGACTCTACGGAACTCATTCTGTGGTAGATCTAGAGACAGGACATGAATTAGAAACAGTCTAGAACCTCAATCTTAACTTTCTGCACACATTATTTTTAACATCCCAATTTTACACCCAATTTAACACCCAAATTTTAGTTTTTACTTTCTTTTTTTTTTTAATTTTTTTGGGGGGGTCCGGTCGTGGGGCCTGAACTCTGGGCCTGGGCGCTGTCTCTCAGCTCTTCAGCTGAAGGCTAGTGCTCTACCAATTGAACCACAGCGCCACTTCCGGCTTTTTTCTTTTCGATTATGTGGTGCTGAGGAATCGAACCCAGGGCCTCATGTATGCAAGGCAAGCGCTCTACCACTGAGCCACCTTCCCAGCCCACACCCAAATTTTAGTACAAAGACATTTCTTTAAAAAGATCACTTCAAATTGGTTATAATTTGAATTAGCTTTATTTTTAGAATATTACATGAAAAATTTAAATACATAATAGTGAATATCACAAAAAAAATGAACAGGTCCGAGACAGTCTACCATTTTGCCAAACTTGTTATCCACTATTTTTGTGTGTATTTTAAGACATTCCAAATACTTCGTGTGTATAAAACTTCAAAATTTATCTCTAACAGATCCATACCTAAATAGTATCATGTGAACTATTAATATTCCCATTTTCTCAATTATACAAAAATGTCATTTTACCATGTTTGTTCCACTTGTGATCTCATAAGAACCATTTCTTTCCCTGCATCTGACAGGTGGCTTAAGCCTCTTCTACTGTCCTGAGTTCTGTCTCCCTTTTTCTTTTTCTTTTTGTCGGTCATGGGGCTTGAACTCTGGGCTTGGGCACTGTCCCTGTGCTCTTCACTTCTGGTTTATTGGAGATAAGAGTCTCTCGGACTTTCCTGCCTGGGCTGGCTTTTAACGGCAACCCTCAGATCTTAGCCTCCTGAGTAGCTAGGATTACAGGTGTGAGCCACCAGTGCCTGGCTTTGTCTCCCTTTTTCAATGCCACTTACTGGCTGAGAAGCCAGGACATTCCTCTTGTACAAGTACCCACATTTTAGATATAGTTGCTTCTTGTTGTATCATGTGATCTGTGCTCCTATTCCTACTTTTCTCTAAACTGGAAGTTTGATCTTCAAGTCTAAATTCAGTACTGAAATACTATTGCAAGGTGTGTATTTTACTTTGTCACATTAGGAGGCAATATTTATGTTACTATTTTTCTGAACGTTAGATTGGTCAGCAGGCTCAGGTGTGGTTACCTGATCTATTCACTAGAAAATTCAAGTCTATCTCTCACTTAAGGGTCTAAATCTCTACAGAAAATCATCCCTCTATTCACTATTACATCGTTATAAAATGGGGTTTCTGATATAATTTTCTAATTCTATAATTCTTTAGCTGGAATTCTCTAGTAAAGAAAAAACTATCACAAAAGCCAATTTCCTTGATATATGATTTACGCAGGAAATGCAGAGTTAATGCCATTTCTTTCCTTTATTTTCAAAACAAGTGGGTGCCTTGGCAACTCCCATAGAATAAGGACAATAAAGCTAATATAAGCTTTTTATAGCCACATCTTTAATGAAGCTCTCCTTCAGAATGAATTTCCTGGAATTTAACATGAATGGGATAAAAGGCTTCTATATGTTCACATTAACTCATTCGTCCTTACATTCAAAAATGATGTTTTCTAATGCTCCTAACACAACATTTATAGTGGGGAGGTGGTTATAACTAGGTTATATTATGAATGCGCTGATGATATGTGAGGTGTGAGTGCTGTCTAAAAGCCTTCTTACATTCCTTGCACGTGTAGGGTTTCTCACCAGAATGAATCCTCTGGTGTTGAATAAGGGAGGAGTGAAGTCGAAAGGCCTTCCCACACTCCTTACAGTCATAAGGCTTCTCACCAGTGTGAATGCTCTGATGCTGAGTGAGCTGGGAGAGCAGTCTGAAAGTCTTCCCACACTCCTTACACTGATAGGGTTTCTCGCCAAAATGAATGCTCTGATGTTGGGTCAGCTGGGAAAACAGCCGGAAGGCCTTCCCACACTCCTTACAGTCATAGGGCTTCTCCCCGATGTGAATGCCCTGATGTGAAATAAGTTCTGAGTAACGACGGAAGAACTTCTGACATTCCTTACACTCATAGGGTTTCTCCCCTGTGTGGATTCTCTGGTGGAGGGTAAGATGATAGCCACGACTGAAGGTCTTCCCGCACTCCTTGCAATCATAGGGCTTCTCACCAGTGTGGATCCTCTGGTGCAGGGTGAGCTGCTGCCGTACTCGGAAGGCTTTCCCACACTCCTTGCAGTCGTATGGCTTCTCACCAGTGTGAAGCTTATGATGCAGCCGAAGGCCCGTACTACACAGAAAAGCCTGGCCACATTCCTTACACTCGTAGCACCTCTCAGCAAAGTTGAGTCTCTGGTGTCGGGTGAGGTGTGCGTACTGTCGGAAGGTCTTCCCACACTCCTTGCATTTGTAAGGCTTCTCACCAGTGTGGATCCTCTGGTGGAGATTCAGCTGTCCCCGCACTCTGAAGGCCTTCCTGCACTCCTGACATTCGTAGGGTTTCTCGCCCACGTGAAGCCTCTGATGCAGGCGAAGGTCTGAGCTGCAGGGGAAGATCGCTCCACATTTCTTACACTCATAGAGTTTGTCAGATGTGTGAATTCTCTGATGTCGACTAAGGTGGGCACACTGGCGAAAGGTCTTCCCACATTCCTTGCACTCGTAGGGCTTCTCACCAGTGTGGATTCTCTGGTGGAAAGTAAGCTGTTGGCGTGCTCTAAAAGCCTTCCCACAGTCCCCACACTCATAGGGCTTTGCTCTATTAGGGGTTTTCTGGTAGAAAGGAAGGGGTCCCAGTTCTCTGTTCATGGCAATTTTCTCAGTGGTAGTTTTTCTCCCTTGGCTGAAATAGACCCCGGGAGGACCTTCCTGTTCCCCAAACATTTTATACCCACAGTCTTTTCCTAAAAAGGATTCTTTGAGGCCATGGCTTTGGATTCTTTCCATGATTTCCCACTGAGATAAATTCATTTCATAAACTTTCTTTTCTTGAAATAACTTCTTAGTATCATACCTGGATTCCAAGTCTGAAAGGAAAAAAACCACACAAGGTAAGGTTTTATCTTCCTGGTCCAGACAAAATACAATTTCTTTCTTTTTGTTTTGTTTTTTTTTTGTCAGTTGTGGGCCTGGCCACTGTCCCTGAGCTCTTCAGCTCAAGGCTAGCACTCTACCACTTGAGCCACAGCACCACTTCTGGCTTTTTCTGCTTATGTGGTGCTGAGGAATAGAACCCAGGGCCTCATGCATGCAAGGCAAGCACCCTACCACTGAGCCGCACTCCCGCCCCTCTTTCTTTCTTTCTTTTTTCTCTCTTTCTCTCATTCTCTCTCTCTCTCTCCCCCCCCCCCCTCTCTCTTTCTGTTTATGTGGTGCTGAGGAATCAAATCCAGGGCTTCATGCATTCTAGGCAAACACGTTACCAGTAACCCAGCTTCCCAGCCCCAATATACAATTTCTTACTACCCGTTTGTAGAAGAAGAAGAGTTCACTTACAATTATGCAAAAGAGGAACTGAGTTATACTGGAAATATTTGCAAGTGTAAGGTAGATAGGCAGTTGGGAGGGTAGTATTTGTAAAGAAATCACTATTTTCCTGCTGGGTGCTAGTGGCTCACACCTGTAATCCTAGCCACTCAGAACTGAGGATTGTGGTTCAAAGGCAGCTGGGGCAGAAAATTCTGTGAGACTCTTACCTCTAATTAACCACCAAAAAGCCAGAAGTGGAGCTGTGTTCAAGGGGTAGAATGCTAGTCTTGAGTGAAAAAGCTCAGAGACAGTGTCCAGGTACTGAGTTCAAGCCCCAGTATTGGCACAAAAAAAGAAAAAAAAGTTAAACTAATGTATGCTGTTGTTGTTAAAGTAAGGATAGTGGTTAACCATGCAGTGGAAGAATGACTGGAGTCAGGATGGGTGATGCACTGAAGTTATCAGCGGTCCTGATGCTCAAATGGTCCCATCTTTGGCAACTGTCATACTGGCTCCTCTTCCCTGACCACTCTAGTCAAATTACTCCATTCACTCATTTTAATTCTCATATAACTTTATTCACTTAACATTTCAGGACATTTAGTAAGCCACTGTCTGTTTTATGTTTCTAAGGATTAAATCCAGGGTGTTACATGTGCACTGAACCATTAGCCCTTAGCCTGAACCATTTATTATTTATTTATTTATTTTTTAATTTTTGCCGAACTCTGGGCCTAGGCGCTGTCCCTCAGCTCTTCAGCTCAAGGCTAGCCCTCTGCCACTACAGCACCAGTTCCAGCTTTTTTTGCTTATGTGGTGCTGAGGAATCGAACCCAGTGCCTCATGCATGCAAGGCAAGCACTCTACCACTGAGCCACCTTCCCAGCTCACTGAACCATTTATTTCTTTACTGACTCTCCTACTACAATGTAAACCCCATGAAATGAGAGTGGTGAAAAAAAAAGAAGACATAATAAAAGCTGAAATACAAAAGATGAGTTCTAAAGAAACATAAAATCCTGACAGCAAGTCTGTGCTTTGTTACTTGCCTCTGGCTGTAGAGCACCTACTTACCCAGGCTCCATCTTCTTCTTTCTTCCCTTACAATGATCCAGGGTTCTTTCCCTTGTTCCAGTAAGGAAATCACATCTGGCTTAGAAATGGAACATCCTGTTTGAGAAAACAGAAGAAATTTAAAAAAAATTTTTGGACCAGGCTTCATATTGAAGATGACCATCAAGACTAAAATATAGGGCTGGGAAGGTGGCTCAATAGTAGAGCGCTTGCCTTGCATGCTCGAGGCCCTGGGTTCGATTCCTCAGCCCCACATAGGCAAAAAGAAAAAAGCCGGAAGTGGTGCTGTGGCTCAAGTGGTAGAGTACTAGCCTTGAGCTGAAGAGCTGAGGGACAGCGCCCAGGCCCAGAGTTCAGGCCCCACGACCAGACCCCCCCCCCCCCAAAAAAAATGTATATATATTCAAATTAAATTAGTACTAGTAGGAAAAAAAAAAGAAGTAGGGGATATGGTGCTTATTTTAATTTAAACTCATACAGTCTTTGTCTTGTAAGAGGGAATAACAGTTGGGAACACTGGTTCCACATCCTGCCTCTTGTCATCTAGGTCATGAGGGCAACTAATTTAACCCTTTTGTACCTCTTTTCTCAGCAGTAAAAAGGGGAGAATGGTACTATGTACACATATGATTATTCTGAACTGATAAGTGTTAGGATGAGTACCTACTGCATTGGAAGCACTATAATTTTTTTTGCTGGTCATGGGGCCTGAACTCTGGGCCTGGGCGCTGTCCCTCAGCTCTTCAGCTCAAGGCTAGCACTCTACCTCTTGAGCCATAGCGCCACTTCCGGCTTTTTCTGCTTATGTGGTGCTGAGGAATCGAACCCAGGGCCTCATGTATGCAAGCACTCTACCACTGAGCTACCTTCCCAGCCCCAGCACTATAATTTTTATTAAGCACTGTTTTTTGCTATTTTTTGCTGTTTTTTTTTTTTTTTTTTTTTTCCCATGGGGCTTGAACCCAGGCCTGGGCACTGTCCCTGAGCTTCTTTTGCTCAAGGCTAGTGCTCTACCACTTGAGCCACAACGTCACTTCCAGCTTTTTCTGTTTACGTGGTGCTGAGGAATTGAACCCAGGGCCTCACATATGCGAGGCAAGCACTTTACCACTGAGCCACCTTCCCAGCCCCTTTGCTGTTGTTTTGCTAAGAGGAAAATAAAGTTGCTTGCCAGGATATTCACATAATTTTAAATGCAATGTTGGGCACAGAAGTTCATGCCTATAATCCCCAGTTACTACTTGGGAAAAGGATCTCAGGAGGATAACACTTTTAGAAGCCAGCTGGGCAAAAGAGCTGCCAAGACCCCCTTCTCTGGATGTGGTAGTACATACCTGTATTACCAGCTACCTGAGAGGCACAGATAGGAGGATTGAGGTCCAGGCTAAAACATAAGACTCTATCCAAAATATAACTAAAGCAAAAGACACCAGAGGTATGGTTCAAGAAGTAGAGCACTTGCCTAACAAATGTGATGCTCTGACTTCAAGTTTCATTACTGACAAAATAAGAAGAAAAATAAGAAGAGTGCAAATTTCAGGTATTTAAGACTTTTAATCACAAAGCAGTTACAGGGTTATATGGCTGTGTTAGAAAATTAGACATGTCTATTTTAGTTTGAAAAAATAAACTTTTTTTTTGGTTGTCATGGGGCTTGAACTCAGGGCCTGGGTGTTGTCCCTGAGCTTTTACACTCAAGGCTAGTGCTCTATCACTTTGAGCCACAGCATTATTTCCGTCCCCCCACTCCTGGTGGTTAATTGGAGGTAAAAGTCTCATGAAAGTCTCACTTTCATGTCTGGATTGGCTTTGAACCACAATCCTCAGATCTGAGCCTCCTGAGTACCTAGCAGTAGTAGGTACCTCAGTACTAGGTACTGAGTACCTAGTGAGCCACCAGTGCCCAGCAATTAAACTTTTAATATGTATACAAAGCTAGACATCTATCTTCTATTCTCATCATAGAGGAGTCCACAACTAACATGAATATCTACAGCATTATGACCCTAGATTTCTATGCTAGGAGGTTCCATACAACAGTTATTAGGGAGAAGCAATAACAGAAGAGGGAAATAAAGCCATGGAGTTATGGAACGATGTAAGGGCTCAACAAAGGTGCTCACTCCTGAACCACAAAGACATGTTTAGTTGGGTTTTAGAAATTGAGCCCTGAATTTTGGTTGTGAGAATTTCAATATTTTGGCACAGAGAATCTTTTTTTTTAAATTTTTTATTGTAAAGATACTATACAGAGGGTTACAGTTACATGAGCAAGGTAATGAGTACACTTCCTATTAAGCATTGTTACCCCCTCCATTGTTTCCCCCTACCATCCCTTCTCTCCCTACCTTCCCTGAGGTTCTTTTTTTTTTTTTTAATTGTGATTAAGTGATTACATAATTTCCCAAATTTGACAGTATTGTGGAATAATGATGCTCGTTTAAAGTCACAAGTTCATTCTAACTTTCCTGGAGCAAACTGCTATCACAGTCTATAACATATAATGGTGTACACATATACACCAGACATGTGATCAGCAGCATGGGGATATTTAGTAGTGGTTCGACCAGATGAGTGGGAGTTCTTTGTTTCTTAAGTCCTGTTAATTTTGTCATATCACCTAACATTTTGGATTTAGCATCCACTTATCAGGGAGACCATGTACCGTTTGTCTCTTTGCTCTTGGCTTACCTCGCTCAACATGATTCCTTCTAGCTCCATCCATTTCCCTGCAAATGCCATTATTTTGTCATTTCTAATGGCTGCATAATATTCCATTGTGTATAGATACCACAATTTTTGGATCCATTCATCTGTGGTGGGGCATCTGGGTTGTTTCCATATCCTAGCTATTGTGAACAGTGCTGCAATAAACATGGAGGTGCACGTGTCCTTGTATATTGGTTCCTGTTGTTCAGGGTAGATGCCTAGAAGTGGTATAACTGGGTCGTAAGGGAGGTCAATCTTTAGCTTTCTAAGGACCCTCCAGACTGCTTTCCAAAGTGGCAGAGAGAATCTTACCGAGTGACACCAAATTTTTGTAGTTCTCTAATATCACATCTCTGTATAAATTCCTCTGGTATGAAGTCAGACATTCCCACTCTTCCTGAGAAAAGTCAACAGTCACATCTCTGAACATCACCAAATCCTGAAATGACAAACCCAATAACCATAAGATAAAGTATTTTTAAGATGGAATACCAGTCTTAAAGACATTTTCTCATTTTATCTATTAAATGGGCTGGACTGGAAGTCTGTGATGTAGGTAGCAATATTTACATGTTCTTGAAAATGTGTTGATGTATTCCAAGGATTAGCAAACATTTCTATTAGGGGCCATTATAGTAGGCTTTGTCTACCACATATAGTCTCTGTTGTTCCTTCCTTCCTTCCTTCCTTTCTTTCTTTCTTTCTTTTCCATTATCAGAGTTTGAACTCTAGGCCTTAAGCCTGTTGGGATCTACACTTGGGGCAACAGCTCCAGCCTAGCTTTTGTTGGTTATTTTGGAATTAGAGTTGTCTGCCTGGGCTGGCTGTGAACCTTGATATCTTGAGTAATTAAGATTACAAGCATGAGCCACCAGCATGTGGCATTCTTACTTTTTAATTTTTTACATTCTTTCAGAATATAACTTGCTTGCAGACTGTACAAACAGGCCAGAATCCCAATTTGGCTTATGGGGCAAACTTGTACTTGGCTAACAACCATAATAACCAAAACAGGTTCATATAAACATGGTTAGCAAATGGCCAAGATATTCTCAACTCTCATGATTTAGCCTATCTTCTTTCAGAAAAAAAAAATGATGGGAGGTAGCAGTACTGTACTTGTCTAGCAAGCTGGAGGCTCTGAGCTCAATCCTGGTACTCTGGAAATAAAAAAAGGACAAGAGAGAGGGAAGAAGGGAGGGAGGGAAGGAGGAAAGGAGGAAAGGAGGGAGGGAGGGAGGGAGGGAGGGAGGGAGGGAGGGAGGGCAGGCATCTATTTACATGAGCCATGATTTTAGAACTGCAAGAACAGGTCAGTTTTCCTCAAGGTTCTTTCACTGGAGAGGCAGAGTCCACAGTTGTCAGAGCTGTGGAGAGAATGTGGGGCCATAAGAACAGAAGCACCTTAGAGCTTCCACATTTGAGAAACAGTATACTGCACTTTTCCACTCCCACATGCAACCTGCTCCCAACACACAGATCAGTTATGCAGCCAGAGGTTCTTTAGACAAATGTATCTCCTCCTCCAAACATGGAGAAATCAGCTATGCTAGGAAGAGACACTGAACAGTCTCCATCAAATCTCATTGTCAGTCACTTTCCAGGAGGGATTCCAGTTAAGTTCCTGTCCCCCACCACAGGGGCCAATATGGACCCAAAATCTGGACCTGGCTGCACAGACCTGGCCTGAAAGTGGCCTTCTCACTCCAGTCTACCTTTCTAGCTAAGACTATATCCTCTAAACCAGAACTTCCTTCTTGGATTTAGGAATCTCGCCAGCTTCTCAAACCTCCAAGAAACAGTGAGACAAGAATCTTCCAAGCTTAACTACAAATTGGTCACATACAGAACTTCAGAAATACCAACTCCTGGCTCCAAGCTACTCAGGAGGCTGAGATTTGAGGATTGTGGTTTTTTTTTTTTTGGGGGGGGGTCCAGTTGTGGGGCCTGAACTCTGGGCCTCGGTGCTGTCCCTCAGCTCTTCAGCTCAAGGCTAGTGCTCTACCACTTGAGCCACAGCGCCACTTCTGGCTTTTTTTTTCTCTTTGCTTAGGTGGTGCTGAGGAATTGAACCCAGGGCCCCAGGCATGCAAGGCAAGCATTCTACCCCTGAGCCACCTTCCCAGCCCCTTGAGGATTGTGGTTTTAATCCAGCCTAGGAAGGAAAGTCTGAGAATATTTTTTTTATCAGTCTTGGGGCCTGAACTCTGGGCCTTGGCGCTGTACCTCAGCTCTTCAGCTCAAGGCTAGCACTCTACCTCTTGAGCCACAGCGCCACTTCTGGTTTTCTAGTGGTTAATTGGAAATAAGAGTCACAGACTTTTGCCTGGGCTGGCTTTGAACCATGATCCTCAGATTTCAGCCTCCTCAATAGCTAGGGTTATAGGCATGAATAACCTGAACACCTCTCATAAGAATGCTTAGAAATACTGTGCTTACCTGGTTAACTAACTGTAGACAACTGCAGGCACTAGACACTAGAAAGAGGAATTTCCTATTACGTCCTTTGCATTGACTAGGTATGCTTATCCTAAGGTTCAAGCCAGTTCATCTTAAAAAGGAAAAAATAATAATTTCATGTCTTGAAAATCAAATGCATTTCACAGCAAGAACCAAACAACACAAACTCACAATCACCTTTCCAAGGGCCTTTTCTGCGAATTGGCAAGGATAAACAGAGAGGGCTTAAGACACTCCGGGCTTTTCTTGAGTAAGCCAAAGTCCCTATGGTCCCCAGGCCCTGGCTGTTCCTCGTCTTGCGTGCACATGAATGCAAACGAGAGGGAGACAGAAGCTCCCCTGTAGTAACAATGAGTCTGCCCACAGTGTCTGGTTTGGAACAGTCCCAGAGGGTCCTCCCAGCCCCTAGAGGCCTGCCCAAGCCTCCCTAGTGTGGCTAACACACATGATTTTTCCACTCGGGCCTCTTGCAGCCAGGCCTAGGTGGCTGAAGGCAGACAGACGTGACCAAGACTTCAAGACAGGCCGCCCTTACCAACAGGGCTCCGCACCGTTATTACAGTTATGATTCCCGCTTTCCGCCGGATCCTCAGAGCCGTGCAGGTCCCGCCCTCATCTCCCCCAGAACAATAAACGGCAAACCTCCTGCCCCCCTATCCTCCAGCTTGGCTCACCTTTCTATCTTCACCCTTATTCCGAGGGCTGAGCCGTCCAGGAATTCCTGGGCTCCTGGACAGCGACCAGTGGCATCTGCAGCGCGCATGCGCGGGGACGGAGGCGGGCCTCGGGGCTCGTTGGGTCCGGGGAGGGAGATCGGGTCTGTGAAGGTGGAGGAGCCGAGAAGCAGTATCCGACTGAGGCCGGTATTTGGTGGCTCAGGCCTCCAGAGGTGACTACCGTCGTGACAGATGCTGTTAAATACAATCCTTCGTCCCTTTGAGAATTCTAGTGTCAAACTATAAAGCCAAATAAACGGTAGTACCTCGGCGAAAAGGCACGCCCCCAACCACTACGTCACTAACGCGCCGGAAGCTGACTTCCTGTCCCCAGTGCGCAAGCGCAAAGCAGGGAATTTGCTACCAGGATCTGGTATTGTGCTGGGGGGAAACCTCTCACGGAAAGAACTCGAGGCTGAGGCCGCCTTCGTTAATTTTTTATCAATTCAAACAACACTATCAAGTGTGTGTGTGTGGGGGGGGAACTCACAGATAGGTGACTTTGGGCTAGAGTTTGTGCACTAGTTTCCTCACATATAAAGTGAGAATTGTCACTATATATTGTTATACGGTAATTCAATTAATGGGGTACAGAGATGCCACATTTCAAAAAGTCGAATTCGGAGTATTTATTAAAAGGTCGGAGACTGCATGGTGGACTACTGGCTCAAAGACCATGTGCCGAGCACGCATATGGCATCACGCTTAGTAAGTTTTACTCAATTTATTCAAACACTTCAAATATAATCCACACCAATAACTAGCTCATGCCCAATTCTACTAAGCGTATGCCACACCCAGGGAGCTCACGTGGCAAGACGCGTGGGCCGGAGGTCGAGGGGAATCCGCCGAGGGTGTCCACTGGGCTGCTCCAAGTCGCTGGAGGGAGTAGCAGCTGCCTTGCGGAGGCGCTCCTGTGGAGGGCTGGTCTGATGTGGAGTCGTCTCGCTCGGGGAGGCTGTCTCACTCGGTCTCTGCTGCTCTGCGTTTTTGTATGTTTTAGGCTGGGCTTCTTCGCTTGTGGCCACGTCTGGTTATTACTATTGGCTTTGCTTCTGGCCGTTTGGTTATCACTGTGGGCTCTGTAGGTTCCTTGGTGTGTCCTTATCTCTATATTCCATAGTTCTAACTCCTAATTTTTAACTCCTTTGTTGTTGTTGTTGTTGCTGTTGGTCATGGGGCTTGAACTCTGGGCCTGGGTGCTGTCCTTGAGCTCTTCAGCTCAAGGCTAGTGCTCCACCATTTGAGCCAAGTGCCACTTCCAGTTTCCTAGTGGTTAATTGGAGATAAGAATCTCATGGACATTCTTACCCAGGCTGGCTTTGAACCATGATCCCATGAGCCACAGGAGCCCAATGGAAACCCAGAATCTTCAATTAAACAGCTTTGAATTAATTCCCCAACTGATGCCAGGTTTAAACTATTTTCAAATTGCTCGATTTCGTCCTGAAAAATCCTCCCATCGATTCATTATCCTTCGCTTGGAGGCTTTACTACTTCCCTAGCTCTCCTCTTTTCTTTCATTGTTTACCCCAGTGTCCTGAATGCTTGTCTTGTCATTTGCCTTTCAGAGGACACGGATGAATTCCTACCCTCAGCTTACCTTTACTTCCCAAAAGGGATTCCTAAGGGAAAATCCTGGTCCCTGAATACTGGAGCGACAAGTGCATACTCTATGACTAATGCATAAACCTGAATGCCATAAACTCGAATGTATGTACAGGATGTGGTGAGAGAAGGGAAGGGAAGACGAATGGACACAGTACCAATTTACCTAATACTAAAGGGGGCACGCTAGACATTTAAGATGTTAGCATACCCTATATGATGAAACAGGCTGTTGCTATCTTGGGGTTAGCTATAAAGGTCGCAGCACCCCAATTTCAAGGGTTCATCCTGTCAAGAACGAGAGAGAAGTCCGGGTGCCGGTGGCTCACGCCTGTCATCCTGGCTACTCGAGAGGTTGAGATCTGAGGATCCTGGTTCAAAGCCATCCAGGCAGGAACGTCTGTGAGACTCTCATCTCCAATAAACCACTGGAAAAACGGAAGTGGCGCTGTGGCTCAAGTGGTAGAGCGTTCGCCTTGAGCTGAAGAGCTGAGGGACAGCGCCCAGGACCAGAGTTCAAACCCCACGACTGACAAGAGAGAGAGAGAGAAAAGAGAGAGAGAGAGATTGCCTTCGGATCCATTACACTGAATCTCCACGCCAGATCATAGGCTTCGGAGCAGAATTCCATAGTTCTTTTCTCAGACCCCTGAAGTCTGGACCATCCTGATTTGCCTCCTCTATGTTCCGAGATTTTAGCACAAAAAAAAATCAGCCTTTGGTCAGCTCCTGCAGCGTTCGCGCATGCGCTCTTGCACACTCCTCCAGGTATTGACAGCCACTCCCGGAAGGCTCTGGGGCTCGGACTGAGGGCGGGGCTTCGCGCCGCCTAGAGCGGGGGGTGGGGGGTGGGGGGGGGGGGAAGAGGGGGAAGGTGGGCGGAGCCTACGCGCCTCCGGGATATTGGAGGTGGGCGTGGTATGACGCTTCCAGACGCAAGCGGGGGCGGGGCCTGCGCGGCCCCCGAGTTGCGGGCGGTGGGCGGGGCCTGCGCGCCTCACGGTTGCTGTGAGAACCGAGGCTGCTGCCTCGGTTTCCCACAAGGACTGAGGCACTGGGTAATCTGCCGGGGACTACACATCCCACCAGCGACGGAGATCACTCCGAACTCTGGCTCCGTTTCCTACCTCTCCTCCCCGGGCATGCCGTGCAGGACTTGGTCCTATGTGAGGAAGAAGGCGGAGCGGCTCGCTGAGAGGCTGCAGGTACGCTTCGCCCCGCGTAGCGGTGAGAGCCGGGCGGCGGGCGGCTCTGGCGGCTGCGAGGAGGGTGACGGTGTCGGTGGGAGACGACGGCGACGGTGAGAGGCCCGGGCCGCGGGAGACAGGACGGGCCGCGACTCTGCGAAGTGGGTGCGGTTGCGGGACTGAACTGGGCGTTGCGGCCCTTAACGGGACGGCGAACTGGGTGCGTTGTCGTGGCTGTGGAGCGAGTGTCCCTGTGACCTAGGTTCCCTGCTGCTTTCTGCGTCCTCCCTTCAGTCATGTATGACTGACCCCCCCCCCCAAAAAAAAACACAAAACAAAACAAAAAAAACCCCAAACCATTCAGGGCTGGCGCTGGTGGCTCACATCTGTAATCCTGGCTACTCTGGAGGCTGTGATCGCGGTTCAAAACCAGCCCAGGCAAGAATGTCTGTGAGGAAATGGAGGGACAAAGGGTGAACAAATGCATAAGTGGTACTCACCCATTATGTTGAAAATGAACTATACAACTTATGGGTGGAGACGGGAGGGAAAAACTGGGAGAGAGCTAGGAAAAGGGTGACACGATCCAAAAAGAAATGTATTCATCACCTGGTTTATATAACTGTAACCCCTCTGTACATCACCTTTATAACAATAAAAGATTCAAAGTCATAAAAAAGAATATCTGGTGCTCTTATCTCCAATTAAGCACCAGAAAGCAGAGGGGAGTCAACCTAGAGTTCAAGTAGTAGAGTGCCACCCTTGAGTGAAAAAAAGCTGAGGGTCGGGGATCAGATGCTGTGTTCAAGACACATACAGTTCAGAGGAGAAATTAGGTGTTGAGGCCTTTCAGCAAGAAGTTACTCTGCTGGCTCAAGTGATATTGCCTGCCTATCAAATGGGTGACCCTAAATTCAATCTCCACCATCCCCTCTCCTCAAAATTATAAAGCAAAATAGGAGTAAGATTAGGAGTATGGAATTCTTACTTGGGAGTCCTTTGGGGTCCCTTTATATGTTTGAGAAATGTAGCATCCCTTAAATTCTGAGCCTAGGGACTGCTATGAACTCTGATACAGATGCCATAGACTATCTTTCCTTTCTCCTTTGGGTGGTACTAGGGCTTTAAACAAAGGATCTTGCACTTGCTAGGAAGGTGATCTATCAATTGAACTACCTACCCCAGCCCAACCCCACCCATATTCTAACTTCATGTATAAGGTCACAGCAGGTGTAACCCTGAAAGATGTAATAATAATTACATGTGGTTACTCTTCTTTCTCCTTAAGGTTTCTTTCCTTCCTTCCTTCCTTCCTTCCTTCCTTCCTTCCTTCTTCCTTCCTTCCTTCCTTCCTTCCTTCCTTCCTTCCTTCCTTCCTTCCTTCCTTCCTTCCTTCCTTCCTTCCTTTCTCCTCCACCTCCTCCTCTGCTGGAGCCTGCTGGCAACGAAAGGGAATCCTGAATTAGGGGGCAAGGATGCGGAAAAATAAAGACATGAGACAAAGGATGGGGTCGGGAGGTCTGTAGCTCAAGACTGCAGCACCGTTTATTTTTAACTTTCCCTAATATATACTATTAGAAGTCAAGAGGTAACATAAGGTTACAATAGTCCAAAAAAACAAGGAAAATTTCAGTAAAAACAGAGTGCAGTAAAAACAAGACAAGGTCAACTGGTAGAAACTAAAACAAACTCTGCAGACATAGCAAAGCAATCCCGGGCACCTGGTGTTTTTTAAGTAAGCCAGTTCCTTGTACGTGCCTTCAAGTGAGCACCGGGGTCAAGATGACCTTTAAACTTTACTGTCGGGGGGCTGGGAAGGTGGCTCAGTGGTAGAGTGCTTACCTTGCATGCATGAGGCCCTGGGTTCGATTCCTCAGCACCACATAAGCAGAAAAAGCTGGAAGTGGTGCTTGGCTCGAGTGGTAGGGTGCTAGCCTTGAGCTGAAGAGCTGAGGGACAGTGCCCAGGCCCAGAATTCAGGCCCCATGACTGGAAAAAAAAAAAACTTTACTGTCGGCTCCCAACACTCCTCTTCCTCCTCCTCCTCCTCCTCTTCCTCTTCCTCCTTCTACATGTTGACTGTGGGGCTTGAACTTAGGGTCTGGGTGCTGTCCCTGAGCCTCTTTGTACTCAAGGCTAGTGTTCTACCACTTTGAGCCACAGCTCCACTTCCGGTTTTTGAGTAGTTAATTGTAGATAAGAGTCTCACAGGGACTCTTCTGCCTGAGCTGGCTTCAAACCATGATCTTCAGATCTCAGTCTCCCGAGTGAGCCACTAGCACCCTTTAGGTTTCTACAGATGAGAAATCAACATGCAAATTATTAGATTGAGACAGTGACTCAAGTGTTCCAGGAGTACTTAAGTCATTGCCCCTGTGTGTGTGTTTATGAGTATATAGGATCATCTTGAAATTGTACAGATAGTTGCAGTTTATAGTTGTAATCTATAGGTGTTAGTGTTTGTTGTTTTGGTCAGTCATAGGGCTTGAACTAAGGGCTTGGGCACTGTCCCTGAGCTCTTTTGCTCAAAGCTAGCCCTCTACCACTTTGAGCCACAGCATCACTTCTGATTTTCTGGTGGTTAATTGGATGAGAGTCTCATGGACTTTCCTGCCCAGGCTGGCTTTGAACTGCCTTAGAGCTCAGCCTCCTGAGTAGTTAGCATTACAGGTGTGAGCCACTAGCTCCAGGCCCTAGCTCAGCTTTTTTACTCAAGGCTGGTGCTCTATCACTTGAGCTATGCCTTTAGTTCAGTATTTATCTGGAGCCTCTCAAACTTTTTGCCCCATCTGAACTACTATCCTTCAGATCTCTGCCTCCCAAGTAGCTTAAATAATAGGACAGACATTTAGCTTAATGAGATAATGACTTTTTAATATTTGGTGTATAGGTTTACATGGAAATAGATTTATCTAGAAACTTCAATCTGCTGAAATTATGTGCAATGGGGATGGAAAATCTTAACAGCAATACTAAGTAACTCTCCTTTTTTTTTTTTTTTTGGTTGTGGGGCTTGGACTCTGGACCTGGGTGCTGTCTTCTTCAGCTCAAGGCTAGCACTCTACTTGAGCCACAGTGCCACTTCTGGATTTCTAGTGGTTTTTGGAGATAAGAGTCTCACAAACTTTCTTGCCCAGGCTGGCTTTGAACTGTGATCCTCAGATCTCAGCCTCCTGAGTGGCTAGGATTACAGGTCTCAGCCACTATTGCCCAGTTACTAAGTAACTTTTAAATTCTGTCCTCTCAGAACACAGCAGAATCCTAGTCTCAAGGTCTTTTCTTCTTCCAGTTCTAGCTCTCTGGATCCATGCTTTTCTGAGAGTGGAACTGTAAAGTCTTGAAGTTTGAAAATCATGGCCTATGTAAGTTGATGTTTCTTTATTGAAATGTATATGTGTGCGCATATATATGTATATTTGTATATATGTGTGTGTGTATATATATATATATATATATATATATATATACATGTGTATATAATATATATATATTAGGTAATGCAAGCATTTTCTTGAAGTTTTCACCAGAGGAAATTTCTCCTCAAAATAACTTGCTTCTAGTTCTCATTCTTTCACTGATGCCAAATGTGATGCCAAATTACCCAGCTTCCTCTACTGTGTGGCTCATTCAGAATTGAACTTTAGCTGTTTTATTTATTACAAACAAGCCATTTGGTTTAGTTCATGTGTAAGGGAACAGACTTACACAGGACATCATACTGGGACTTGGGGATTATTGGTAACCCATATAGAAGCTGCATAACACACTCAGGACAAAGAGTCAATGAGAAATATTAGATGAACACAAAAGAGAGAACTGAAAATGAACTCACATATATGTGTTATAGCTATATAAAAAGCTCATGTAGATACTCTAAGCCACATGGGCTTGTCAAAACAAGGAAAATTGCTCACACCTGTAATCCTGAGGACTGCTGTTCAAAGCAGGAAAGTCTATGAGACTCTTATCTCCAGTTATCCACCAAAAAGCCAGACAGAGTTGTGGCTGTAGAGTGCTAGCCTTGAGCAAAACAAAAAAACTCCCCAGGGACACTCCTGGATTAGCACAACAAAACCAAAACCAAAACGTTGGATTAACTTTTTCTTTTCTTCTTCTTTCTTTTTTTTTTTTTTTTGGTCAGTCGTGGGGCTTGAACTCTGGGTGTGGGTGCTGTTCCTCAGCTCTTCAGCTCAAGGCCAGTACTCTACCACTTGAGCCACAGCACCATTTACTTTTTCTTTTAAAAGCAAAAATTTTGCTGGGTGTGTTGGTGCATGCCTGTAATCCCAACTATTCAAAAGGCAGAGGTAAGAGGATTGTGGTTTGAGACTTTTTGAGCCAAAGGTTAGCTTGAGACCCTACCTAAAAGAATTAAAAACTAAAAAGTAGAGTAGAGTGCTTACTTAGCACTTAGTATCACCACCCCAAAACAATTTATTTGGCAGATATCAGAGATTATACTTGTATTCACTATTTTAATACATAATTAATACATAAACCTTATTTTATCACCAAATGTTTTGCATCTTTAAGAGTGCACCAGGTCTAGGAAGGTGGTTCAGTGGTAGAGTGCTTACCTTGCATGCATGAGGCCCTGGGTTTGATTCCTCAGCACCACATAAGCAGAAAAGCCACACGTGACACTATGTCTCAAGTGGTAGAGCACTAGCCTTGAGCTGAAGAGCTGAGGGAAAGTGCCTAGGCCCAGATTTCACGCCCGACGACCAGCACCCCCCCCCCCCCCAAAATGCACCAGACAGTTTTGTTTATGCTAGAAGTTTGCTTAAAAAAAAAAAACTGTTCGTTCTGCACTTTGCATATTATAAATTTGTATAAATCAGCACCTGGGCTGATTTTATTGCCCTCTTTGTATAATGCAGTCCATTTCTCATCTCTGCAATCTTTCTTTTCTATACTCCTTCCTTCCTTCCTTCCATCCTTCCTTCCTTCCTTCCTTCCTTCCTTCCTTCCTTCCTTCCTTCCTTCCTTCCTTCCTTCCTTCCTTCCTTCCTGTCAGTCCTGGGGCTTGAACTCTGGGCCTGGGCACTGTCCTTGAGCTCAAGGTGAGCGCTCTATCACTTTAGCCACAGCCCCACTTCTGGTTTTCTGGTGATTAATTGGAGATAAGAGTCTCAGTCTTGGGGCTGGGAAGTTGGCTCAGTTGTAGAGTGCTTGCCTCACATGCATGAGGCCCTGGGTTCGATTCCTCAGCACCACATAAGCAGAAACAAGCCAGAAATGGCGCTGTGGCTCAAGTGGTAGAGCGCTAGCCTTGAGCTGAAGAGCTGAGGGACAGTGCCCAGGCCCAGAGTTCAGACCCCACGACTAGACCCAAAAAAAAAAAAAGAGTCTCAATCTTTGCTGCCCAGGCTGACTTTGAACCATGTTCCTCAGATCTCAGCCTCCTGAGTAGGTAGAATTATAGATGTGAGCCACTGGCGCCTGGCTGCAATCTTTAAAGTAATTCCTTTAATTTCTCCAGTGATATATGGGTTTGCCATTTCAGGGACCAGTGACATTCAGGGATATAGCCATAGACTTTTCCCAGCAGGAGTGGGAATGCCTCAACTCTTCCCAGAAGAACTTGTACCAGAATGTGATGATGGAGAACTATGGTAACTTGGTCTCATTGGGTATGTTTTCTGATTCAAATAACGGATAATTTAGATCTTTTCTAGAATTTTTTTTTTTTTTTTGGTCAGTAGTGTGGCTTGAACTCATGTACTGGGCACTGTCCCTGAGCTTTTTTGTTCAAAGCTAGCACTCTACCACTTTGAGCCACAGAACCACTTCCTGTTTTCTGGTGGTTAAGTGGAGATAAGAGTCTCCTGGAAGTTGCGTGCAGGTGGCTCACGCCTATAGTTCTAGCTACTCAGGAGTCTGAGATCTGAGGATCACGGTTCAAAGCCAGCCCAGGCAAAGAAAGTCCTTGAGACTCTTATCTCCAATAAACCATCCAGAAAACCAGAAGTGGTGCTGTGGCTCAAGGGATAGAGTGCTTGACTTGAGCTGAAGAGCTGAGGGACAGTGCCCAGGCCCAAAGTTCAAGCCCTACAACCGACCAAAAAAAAAAAAAAAAGAGTCTCATGGACTTTGCTGCCTAAGCTGGCTTCAAACCATGATCCTCAAATCTCAGCATCCTGAGTAGCTAGGATTACAGGCAAGAGCCACCAGGGCCTGGCTAACAGTTTCTTTTCCTACTCTGATTTTGAAGACAAACTGTGGGAAACTGGTTAATTTTTTTTTTTCTTTTTTCTTTTCCTTCTCAAAAGAAGTGGTTAGGTTACAATGGCAAGTCCATTATAAACGCATTTGTCTTTCCCATCTTTCAATCGTAGTTAAACCTTCTCTAATCTCACTTAGAATTATCTCTGTTCCTTAGCTAGATTAGGGTTCTGGGCATGTACAGTATAAGCATCGTTAAAGGACTTAGGTTGCCTATTTATGCAAGTTTACTATATTATGTTATCTGATCCACTTTCAGGAAGAACAGAGCTGATTGACAGATGATTCTGAGTTGTTCTAATTACTAAACGTACTTCTACAATTTATATAATGGTGGTTTCCCTTAAGATTGAAGTAAATTATTTTGCTTCCTAAGACAAACTTTATATGATTTTAAGGATTCTTTAATTTCCACCAGGCACCAGTGGCTCATGTCTATAATTCTAGCAACTCAGGAGGTTGAGATCTGAGGATCATAGTTAAAAACCATCCTGGGCAGAAAAGTTAATGAGACTCTTTTTTTTTTTTCATTGTTGTTGGTCATAGGGCCTGCACTCTGGGCCTAGGCTCTGTCCCTCAGCTCTTCAGCTCAAGGCTAACACTCTACCACTCTACCACAGTGCCACTTCTGGCTTTTTCTGCTTATGTGGTTCTGAGGAATTGAGCCCAGAGCCTCATGCATGCACTGAGCCAACTTCCCAGCCCAATGAGACTCTTATCTCCACTTAAATACCAAAACGCCACAAGTAGAACTATGGCTCAAGTCATAGAATGTTAGCCTTGAGCAAAGGAAGCTCAGGAACAGTACCCAGGTCCTAAGTTTAGGCTCCAGCACTGGCACAATAATAATAATAATAATAATTCCTTCAATGTTCTCATCTGTTTTTATACATCACTTTTTCTTTTACCATTAATATGAATTTGACTAAGCAAAGCATTTCTACATTTTAATGTGTTCATTTTTTTTTAATAGGACATTCCATTTCTAAGCCAGATATAATTACATTATTGGAACAAGGAAAAGATCCCTGGATGATTGTGAGGGAAGAAACAAGAAAGGGCTTTAGAGGTAAGTAACAGTAAATCAGACTATAGGAAGCCATGTTCAGGCAGAGGCCCAACTGGCCAAAGAAGAGAGACACACACTTAGAATGTTGGTTGGAAATCTCACAGTAAAGAAAAGGCTTGTACCAGGCACTGGTGGCTCACACCTGTAATCCTAGCTGCACAGGAGGCTGACATCTGAAGATTTCGGTTTGAAACCAACCTGGCCAAAACAGTTCCTGTGAAACTCTTATCTCCAATTAACTACTCAAAAACTAGAAGTGGTACTATGTCTACAGCACTAGCTTTGAGCAAAAGAGCTCAGGAACAGTGCCCAGACCTTGAGTTCAAAGTCTCACCACAGGGGATAGAGGGGAAAGGTTTGTGGTCCTGAGAGGAGAGAAATACTCCCCATGAGCTTTACTTTAGTTAGTTACTCAGTTTTTTCAGCTTCATATTCCTATTCCAGTTCAGAAAGGGGCACTGTGCTCTGGATTTTGGACTCAGCTGATGGTATATTATAAGGGCTTAAGTCATTCAAGTATATTAAAAGTAATATGCCAAGAAGAGTGAACAGCTCATATGAAGATCTTGAAGAGGGTGTGAGTATTGTCAGTTTTAGGAGCAGCAAGAATATCACAATTGCCAGGTAATGGAGGCTCATACCTGTAAACCTTGCTACTTAGAAGGTCGAGATCTGACAATCGAGGTTTGAAGACAGCCCAGGCAAGAAAAGTCTATAAGAATCTCCAGCCCGGTGCTGGTGGCTCACGCCCGTAATCCTAGCTACTGAGGAGGCTGAGAGCTGAAGATCATGGTTCAAAGTCAGCCCGGGCAGACCCTGATCTCCAATTAACCACTAGAAAACTGGAAGTGGTACTGTGTCTCAAGTGGTAGAGCACTTGCCTGGAGCTGAAGACTCAGTGATAGTGCCCAAGCCCAGAGTTCAAGCCCCATGACTGACAAAAAAAAAGAATCTCCAATTGGCCACAAAAAGTTGGAAAGTAGAGCTGTGGCTCAAGTTGTAGAGCGCTATCCTTGAGCAATAAAGCTCAGGGACAGTGTTGAGTTCAAACCCTATTACTGGCACCAAAAAAAAAAAAAAAGGATAAACTCAGTATGTCACGAATGATTATGTATTAGTAAGTATTATCATTTATTAAGAAGAACTACAGTTTTGTTTTTTTTATTTTTGTTTTTGTCAGTTGTAGGGCCTAAACTCTGAGCTTGGACACTGTCCCTCAGCTCTTCAGATCAAGGCTAGTGTTTTACCACTTGAGCCACAGCGACACTTCTGGCTTTTTCTGTTTATATGGTGCTGAGGAATTGAACCCAGGGTCTCATGCATTCGAGGCAAGCACTCTACCGCTGAGCTACCTTCCCAGCCCTACAGTTGTTTCTTAAGGTTAATTAGGATCCATGATTTGATTAAATTTTTATATCTTTAATTTTATTATTTTATTTATTTATTTTTGTTGGTTGTGGGGCCTGAACTCTGGGCCTGGGTGCTGTGCCTTAGCTCTTCAGCTCAAGGCTAGAGCTCTACCACTTGAGCCACAGCGCCACTGAGCTTTTTCTGCTTATGTGGTATTGAGGAATCCAACCCAGAGTCTCATGTATGCAAGGTAAGCACTCTACCACTAAGATACCTTCCCAGCCCTATATCTTTAATTTTAAATAAAACTTAATAGAGGCTGGGAAGGTGGCTCAGTGATAGAGTGCTTGCTTAGCATGCATGAAGCCATGGGTTTGGTTCCTCAGTACCACATAAACAGAACTGGAAGTGGAGCTGGAAGAGTGCTAGCCTTGAACAAAAGAAGCTCAGGGATAATGCTTAGGCCCTGAGTTCAAGCCTCAGGACTGGCAAGAAAAAACAGAAAAAAAAAGTTTAAAAGAACTCTACATTAAATCAATATAGATTGGTGAATTATTCGCATTCATGCTTTTCATATATTCACTTAAAGAAAATCTCAATCTTCCCACAGTGCCAGTTCCGGTTTTCTGGTGGTTTATTGCAGATAAGAGTCTCATGGAGAGGCTGGGATGGTGGCTCAGTGGTAGAGCGCTTGCCTTGCATGCATGAGGCCCTGGGTTCGATTCCTCAACACCACATAAGAAAAAAGAAAAAAGCCGGAAGTGGCACTGTGGCTCAAGTGGTAGAGTGCTAGCCTTGAGCTGAAGAGCTGAGGGACAGTGCCCAGGCCCTGAGTTCAGGCCCCACGACTGACCAAAAAAAAAAGAGTCTCATGGACTTTCCTGCCTGGCCTGGCTTTGAACTACAATCCCCAGATCTCAGCTTCCTGAGTAACTAGGATTATAGGTGTGAGTCACTGGTACCCGGCTTTCTTCACTTAACATTCATTAACATTCTAAACTTTCTTTTTCTTTTTTTTTTTGGGTCCGGACGTGGGGCCTGAACTCTGGGCTTGGGTGCTGTCCCTCAGCTCTTCAGCTCAAGGCTAGCGCTCTACCACTTGAGCCACAGGGCCACTTCCGGCTTTTTTCTTTTTGCTTATGTGGTGCTGAGGATTGGAACCCAGGGCCTCAGGCATGCAAGGCAAGCGCTGTACCACGGAGCCACCTTCCCAGCCCTTTATTTTTCTTTTATCCTTATTATATTCCTGGGCTATCTTAATTCTTGATATGTTTGTTTACATTACACATGGTAGCTAATATAGGAAGTCACCCATTTTATCACTGTGGCAAAGTAATAAATGAGAGTTGTGGAGTCATTTTGACAGTAACAAGTATAAACTGTACAGCTGATTTTAGAGTTCTTACAAATGTTCATTTCTAGTTGGCCACATTTAAATTATTAGAAAAGAATCTGTACAATGCAAACATGGGAGTTTTCTGTTTGCTGGTGGTATTTGTTTTTACTTTGTGGTTTTTTTTTTGTTCTTTCTATCTTTTGAGAGGTGGCAAGGAGGAGAGTAGAAATGGAGGGAGAGAGGGTGAAAAATGCAGCCAGAGCATTTAGTATACACTATGTGGAAAATGAATTATGCAACTTGTGGGCAGAAATGGGTGAAGGAAGCCGCCGCCAGTGGCTCACGCCTATAATCCTAGCTACTCAGGAGGCTGAGATTTGAGGATCGCAGTTGAAAGCCAGCCCGGGCAGGAAAAGTCCGTGAGACTCTTATTTCCAATAAACCACAAAACCGGAAGTGGTGCTATGGCTCAAGTGGTAGAGTGCTCGCCTTGAGCTGAAGAGCTGAGGGACAGCACCCAGACCCAGAGTTCAAGCCTCAGGACTGACCAAAAAAAAAAAAAAAGAAAGAAAAGGAATGGGTGAAGGAAGCTCAGAAAGCAAAGGAAGGGGTGACACTGTCCAGAAAGAAATATATTCATTACCTGACTTACGAAATGGTAAGTATAACACCTTAATAATAACAATAAAATTATACACTTAAAAAAATGGTCTAAGCCGGGCACCAGTCGCTCATGCCTGTAAGCAAGCCTGGGTAGAAAATTACCCATAAAACTCTTATCTCCAAGTAACCACTCAAAAAACCAGAAGTGGTGCTGTGTAGAGTGCTAGCCTTGAGATCAAAAAGGCTCAGGGACAATGCCTGTGAGTTAAAGCCCCACAATTAACAAAAAAAAATAAAAAAATCTATAGAGCATTTATTTTTGGCATCCAATAAAACAAAAGGTTTTTATTACTTCTTTTAGAATTCAAGCCTGCGTGTGAAAATATCAACCTTGGAAAAGTTGACATTTATAGAATACATTCCTCTGTCACTCTACAGCAAAGATTTGATAGTAGTGAGAAGTCTTATGAGTGTGACAAATGTGGGAAGTCCTTTACTCGTCCTACAAACCTCATAGTACATCGGAGAATTCATACTGGTGAGAAACCCTATGAATGTAGTCAATGTGGAAAAGCCTTTAATCGTGCGTCCAACCTTCGGCAACATCAAAAAATTCATACTGGTGAAAAGCCCTATAAATGTGAAGAATGTGGGATGACATTCAGTCGCAATATAGACCTTAGAGTTCATCAAAGAATCCATACAGGTGAGAAACCCTATCAGTGTGAAGAATGTGGGAAGGCCTTTAGTCGTGTCTCATACCTGACTCAACATGGAAAAGTTCATAGTGGAGAGAAATCCTATGTATGTCATGAATGTGGGAAGGCCTTTAGTAGAGGTGGAAAACTTAAAATGCATCAGAGAATCCATACTGGGGAGAAACCCTACCAATGTAAGACTTGTGGGAAGGCCTTTAGCCAAGCCTCTCACCTGGTGCAACATGACAGAATTCATACTGGCGAGAAGCCATATGAATGCCACAAATGTGGGATGACCTTTAGTCGTGGTGTAGATCTTACAGTACATCATAGAATTCATACTGGTGAAAAACCCTATAAATGTAAAGAATGTTGGAAGGCCTTTAGTTCTGCCTCAAATCTTGTTCAACATGAGAGAATTCACACCGGCAAGAAGCCCTACGAATGTGATGAATGTGGGATGACCTTCAGTCGTGTCTATCAGCTTATTCCCCATCAGAGAATGCACACTGGTGTCAAACCCTATGAATGTAATGAATGTGGGAAGGCCTTTATTCGTGCCTCAACCCTTATTCAACATGAGAGGATTCATACTGGTGAGAAGCCCTATAAATGTATAGAATGTGGAAAGGCTTATATTCATGGTGGTAGCCTTAGGATGCACCAGAAAATTCATACTGGTGAGAAGCCCTATAAATGTAAAGAATGCGGAAAGGCTTTTGGTTGTACATCAGATCTCCTTAGACATGAGAGGATTCACACTGGTGAGAAACCCTATGAATGTAAGGAATGTTGGAAGGCCTTTAGTCATGTTGAAAGCCTTAGAATGCATCATAAACTTCACACTGGGGAGAAACCCTATGAATGTAAAGAGTGCAGGAAAGCTTTTAAGAGTGGCCACCAGCTGAAAGTACATCAGAGAATTCATACAGGTGAAAAGCCCTATGAATGCAAGGAATGCGGGAAGGCCTTTAGTGTCTATGGACGTCTTACTCGACATCAGACTATTCACAGTAGTGAGAAGCCGTTTGCATGTAATAAATGTGGAAAGTCCTTTAGACATAGTTCAAGTCTTAAAGTACATCTAAGAATTCATGCTAGAGAAAAACATGATGAATGAAAGCATTGTGAGAAGAGGCATTAGATAATGTGTGGATCATCAGCATATTTATATGCTGAGAAACAATTTGAACATAAAGAATATGGAAAAATTTTTAAATATGATTCATTTCTCATAAGGCTTTTGTACATATGAAAACCCCTCAGAATATATTTTTTCAGTTCAAATATTCATGTTCAGAGAATTTCTAATGTATTTTATTGTAACATAGAATATTTATGTTTATTTATAGGAATGTAAAAACGTTTTATGTTTTACAAAAAAGCCTTCCAGCACTATCAGTTATTTTTAAACTTATACCACAGAAAACCACTTGATCTAATAAATGTAGGAAAATTATTTTGATTGCCATTCTATTCCACTCCCTGTATATTGGAAAAGATATTTATCCTTCTGAGAGCCTTCCAAAATTGATGAGAATTGTACCTATAGTACAGGAACTCAGTTGCAAGAAACAGAGAAGCCACGTTTTGAGAAGTCATCCAATTAGGAGTCTTTATTGGAGAGCTGGTGGCTGCAGGTGGACTGTTGTCACAAAGACCTGTAGTCCCTTGAATACACTTAATACTGTCAAAAAACTGAGCCATGTGAGTAGGAGAGGAAAGAAAGAGCAGAAAAACAATACCAACAAACTAGATCAACCCCAATGGAGAGCTGAAGTGGATGCCATGATGACTGAGGCGAGCCAGGAGACAGGTGATACGGGAACACAAGGCATGGCATATGGCACCTGAGCTGGTCTGGACCTAAATACCATGTCAGGGGGCAGGGTTACAGGACACTCAAGAGTGATCTCCAGTTCAAGGCACAAGACTGACAGATTCAGTAACCTATCGTCCAAGTCCCTGCTCCAGTCTCTAGGAATTCAGGCATGCCCATTACCTGGAGGTAGAACTTCCTGCCTCTTCTATGAAGACAAGATGGTACTAGTTAAACCCAATACCCTATCATCCACCACATGGCCCAGAAGACACTGATTAGATCCAGTATCCTTATTTCATTATAGTGCTATTATCATAATATATACTTGGAAAGTTTTCATGACCATTGTCCTATATGTGGCCTGTCATAGACCAAAACATCCTTATATGTCACATAACTGTTGTGACAAAGTATCTTCAGGCTGTTTAGACTTGGCTACCATCCCCAAGTCTCTCTCTCTCTCTCTCTTTTTCTCTCTCTCTCTCTCCATATATATGCAAATATATATATGCAAATACTCCAAAACTTTAAAAAAAAATCAATAAAGCAGAAAGGGTTAGAAGAGTGGATCAAGTGGTAGTATACCTGCCTAGCAAGTGCAAGGCTCTGAGTTCAACTCCAGTACTGACACCTGAAGGAAAAAAAAGCAGTAAGGACCAGAAAGCATTGGACTAACATATCCAAGGTGCTATAAAACCTCCCCCAAATCACCAAGAATTGCTTATCCAGAGCAGGACATTGTGGTTCACATCCAGCTGCTTGAGAGATGATCAGGAGGATGAAGTATTTCACAGGAATTTGATCCCAAGGTTCAGAGAAGGCACATTTTGAGAGGTCAAATCGTGAGTCTTTATTAGAAAGCCAGCAACTTCAAGTGGATACATGTCCCCGAAACATTTGCAGCCTTGGTTATACCTAATTCTGTTAGGAAACGGAGCTATGAGGGTAGTAGAGAGCAGAAAAACAGTCTCAACAAACAAGATCAATTCCAATGGAGAGCTAAAGAGGGATGGCATGATGACCAAAGAAGCATCAGAAGACATGAAGCATGGTGCAAAATGGTGGTTGAGCTGGTTGGGCTCTAAATATGGTCATGGTCAGAGGGCAGAGTCGCAGGGAGCTGTGACTCTCACCTTCATCCACCAAGAAGCCAAGATGGCACCAGTTACACCCAGTATCCCTATTTCAGAAGGTTCAAGGCTAAAAAGCTTGGGGAAAAGAAATTAGCAAGACCCTCCAACCCTCATCCATCAACAAACAAGCTAGATATGGTGGCACATATCTGTAATCCCAGCTATATGGGAGATACGATTTGATATTTATTTTCTCTTAATTAATTTAAAAGACAATTTGTTTTTTAAAGTGTTATAATGTTTTGAACATGCAATATATATACATACACACTTAATCAGAAAGTGATCATATACTGGCCTCTTTCCTCCAAAGGATTTGTTCCATTAGAAAAGAAAAACAAAACATTGTTCTTCTTGGAACAAAGGGTACCTCTTACCTCTGGGCAAATTTATAGGGAATTCACAGCTTAGGAAAGAAAAGAAACCAGACTATTTGTTATAAATGAGAAAATGCCATTTTATTTAGTACAGTGATTTAGGGAGTTGAATAAACATGGAGCCTTGTTTAGACTCATCTTTCAGTGGGGAACAAGTAAGGAGTCTTATGATCTTTGGCTTAGGACCATTTTCCAGCAGGATCTTAAAAGTCTTACTATTAGGCCAAATCAGAGAATTGGAGGCATGATGGTGCTGCAGTCAGGACTGACTTGTGGTAGGCGTTTCCAGGCAAGTTCTAGGAATCCATACTGGGCAATACCTATGGGTTCAAAAGTTTTCACCATGTTTTTCCCAGAGAGTGGTATCACATAGTGGAACCTAAGGGAACCTGAGGGGGAATGAGAACCACCACAAATCAGGCAGTAGAACAACCGCTCCCCAGGTACTCCCTCCACAGCCTTCAGGGTCTCTTCGCTGATGACTTCTTGGGATTGAGTTTTCTCTCTCAGTAGCAATTCCTGTAGCAGCCTCTGGATTCCTGGGGACTTAAACTGATACATGTCCATGACATGGTAGAACCTTTCCATCCACACAGCTGTGTCTTTGCCATAACGCTGCTGCAGCATCCGCAAAACATAGTACAGTGCCATGAATGTCTCCCACAGAGGTACCTCTTCTTTTTTTCTTGAGATGGGCTGTTTCTTCTTCACCAACCTGGGCAATTTGGGAGGCCTGCCCTTACCCTTAAAAGCTGTGAGATCTTTCTGAAACATTAGTGCCAGGGTTTGTCTGTCTACAGAAGTGTAGGCATCTGTGAGGTCTCTTTTGACAGGATAGAAGCGTCGCATCACCATTTGTTTGATATTGGACAACTGTTCTATTCTTGCACTCCTATAAGGTTCTCCTAGAAGATGCCAGGTTCTAGCCTTTGGGTCTGTGATCCTTTCGGTAATTGATGGTAATAGTGGCACAGGGAAAGGTACAGCTTTCCTCTTTGTCTTGGAAAATGTAGGGAACTCTGCTCTCTTCAAGGCTGGGAAGTCCTTCGGGAACATCAAAGCCAGGGAATCTTTACCCACAAAGGGATAGGCAACAGTGGGAACATCCCCTCTGCTTGGATAAAATTCTTCAGTGTCTTTTCTTGTGCTGGCTAGCTGTGGTACCTGCTTCTCCCTGAAGGACTCATCCAAGAGATGCCACCGGAGAACCTTTGGGGTTTGAGTCTTAGTGTCTGGTGCTAACATTGGTTCAGGTATTGGTTCTGGCTGGCTCTCTTTTTCTTGTCTTCTAACTGGAGGGAGCCTTGGATGTAGACCATCCTTCCAGGGTTGGGACATATCAGTATGACTTAACTCTAGATTCTGTGTGAGATGTTTCCCAATGGCCTTCAGAGTGAAGAGCTGTATCCAACTCCAGTCTGTCTTGGAAATGAAGTCTCTGAGGAGTTGGCTCAGGCGACAGAAACTGTCCCTGGAGAGTTGCTCACCTGCTTTCAGCCTCATCAAGGCACCGTTAATCCAGTCCTCATCTGAGAGCTTTGCTTCCGAGTCTGGTGGCTTTTCAAGTGAAGGGGCAACGGGTGCTAAAGCTTCACCTGGAATTTGGTCTGTCATTTCCTCCATTATGATATCATGATGTCGGAGGTACCAACTGCTCCTTTTACCTTTTGGTCTCTCTTTAAAAGGTTTCTGGGGTTCCCTGATGATTTCAGGTACGTGGAGTGCTGGCCTGTGGAGATCTGGGATTGGAGTCACTAAGTCTGCTTTCATGACTTGTAAAATTGTATTGCTAATTTTTTCCAAGAGCGCAGGGTCTAGTCTTTCCAATGAAGTTATCTTGGGGAGTACTCTAAGAAGTTTTCTGTCCATTCTTTCTTTCCAACTTAAGTGCTTTTTTGGCACTTTTAGGGTTGGCATTTTGAAGGGCTTCTTCTTGTCCATAAGTCTTGCTACATGGGACAATCTGTATTCCTTAAGACTCATTTCCCTCTTGGTTGTACCCTTCCTTTCCTTAACAAGACCCACATCTTCCTCAGGAAGGATTTTTCCTCTAGCCCTACCCTCCCTTTCCTCAGCAAGACCCTCATCTTCCTCAGGAAGCTTTTTCCTTGTGGCCCTACCTTCCCTTTCCCTAGCAAGATGTTCATCTTCCTCGGGAATCATTTTCCTTCCAGCCCTATCTTTCATTTCCCCAGCAAGACCTTCATCTTCCTCAGGAAGCATTTTCCTTCTAGCCCTAGCCTCTCTTTCCCTAGCAAGACCTTTATCTTCCTCAGGAAGCATTTTCCTTCTGCCTCTACCCTCCCTTTCCCTAGCAAGACCCTCATTTTCCTCAGGAAGTATTTTCCTTCCTGCTCTATCCTTCATTTCCCCAGCAAGACCTTCATCTTCCTCAGGAAGCATTTTCCTTCGGGCTCTATCCTTCCTTTTCCTAGCAAGACCTTCATCTTCCTCAGGAAGCATTTTCCTTCTAGCCCTATCTTTCCTTTCCTCAGAAAGGCCTTCATCTTCCTCAGGAAGCATTTTCCTTCTGGCTCTATCCTTCCTTTCCCTAGCAAGACCTTCATCTTCCTCAGGAAGCATTTTCCTTCCGGCCCTACCCTTCCTTTCCCTAGCAAGACCCTCATCTTCCTCAGGAAACATTTTCCTTCTAGCCCTATCTTTCCTTTCCTCAGCAAGACTCTCATCTTCCTCAGGAAGCATTTTCCTTCTAGCCCTATCTTTCCTTTCCTCAGAAAGACCTTCATCTTCCTCAGGAAGCATTTTCCTTCCGGCCCTACCCTTCCTTACCCTAGCAATACCCTCATCTTCCTCAGGAAACATTTTCCTTCTAGCCCCATCTTTCCTTTCCTCAGCAAGACCCTCATCTTCCTCAGGAAGCATTTTCCTTCTAGCCCTATCTTTCCTTTCCTCAGAAAGACCTTCATCTTCCTCAGGAAGCATTTTCCTTCTGGCCCTACCCTTCCTTTCCCTAGCAAGACCCTCATCTTCCTCAGGAAACATTTTCCTTCTAGCCCCATCTTTCCTTTCCTCAGCAAGACCCTCATCTTCCTCAGGAAGCATTTTCCTTCTGGCCCTACCCTTCCTTTCCCTAGCAAGACCCTCATCTTCCTCAGGAAACATTTTCCTCCTAGCCCTATCTTTCCTTTCCTCAGCAAGACCCTCATCTTCCTCAGGAAGCATTTTCCTTCTAGCCTTATCCTTCCTTTCCCCAGCAAGACCTTCATCTTCCTCAGGAAGCATTTTCCTTCTAGCCCTATCCTTCATTTCCCTAGCAATACCCTCATCTTCCTCAGGAAGCATTTTCCTTCTAGCCCCATCTTTCCTTTCCTCAGAAAGACCTTCATCTTCCTCAGGAAGCATTTTCCTTCTGGCTCTATCCTTCCTTTCCCTAGCAAGACCTTCCTCTTCCTCAGGA